TAATGATAAAGAAGTAAGAGCAGAGGCCGGGGCTGTGGCACAGTGGATTAAGCTACCACCTGAAACACCAGCATCCCATATGGGCACGGGTTTGAGTCCCATCTGCTCCTCTTCCAATCCAGCTCCCTGCTAATGTGCCTGGGAAAGCAGCAAAAGATGGCCCAAGTACTTGGTCCCCTGTATCCACATGGGAGACTCAGATGGAGTTTAAGGCTCCTGGCTTCAGCCTGGCCCAGACCTAGCCCTTGTGGCTATTTGGGAAGCAAACCAGTGGATGGAAGATTCTCTCTCTCTCTCTCTCTCTCTCTCTCTCTCTCTCTCTCCCCTTCTCTCCCCCCCTCCCCCCCCCTCCTTGTAACTCTACCTTTCACACAAATAAAGACAATCTTAAAAAAAAAAAAAAAGGAGCAGACATAACAGTTGTGATCATGAGCCAGTGCTTAAACAAGTCATCCATCACAACACCTTGGCTGCAACCCACATCTCTGTCATCTTTAAACTTTGCTTCTCCCTGAACCAAGATCCTGTGTACATCACAAAGCCCGGAGGAACGTGTTGAGCTTCAAAATCGCAGGTGTATAGGAGCTTTTCACCTGGACAGGAGCTGCCTTGTGTAATTCCCAGCATTGTCTCCAGACATTTTCAGAACCCAGGCTGGGCAGGGAAGGGTGCTGGGTGGGTTTAGGACACTGGGAGGCCTGGAACCAGTGGGGCTGGCATTTCTACACTGTGAGGCGTTTAACCTTGTTGAGTCAATTTCTTCTGTAAAACAGGGATGTCAATAGCTACCTAGAGGCTGGCAGGGGATTATTGGCAATATTGTTAACAATATGAGCATATTTGACAGTCAAGTAATGCGGGAGGAGGACTGGAGGGTAAGGAAGGGGTGGGGAGGAAATGCGGCAGGCAGAAGCCCGCGTGGCACCGTTTAGCACGGAGCATTCACTCTCTGCGTTCATTCGGGTGGCATCGCGTGCGCCTCTCCAGTGCTGCTCCTGAGTGCCCTCTTTCCCCAAGTCCCTCACCATTTGCAATGCTTGTTCCTCAGTGGGAGCCAAGGGCTTGTTCTAGGAAGGAAGGGAGGGGCGGGGACTCAGTCACATTTTTATGTAGCGAAAGCAAGACCCAGAGTGGTGGTGACTGTCCTGTGGGACTCGGGACTCCTGGACGGAACTGAGTGGCAACCTACTCACATCGCTCCTGAAACCGCAGCCCTGCAGATGGCTCCTGGCCGCCGGACCCCGTGTCTTCTCCTCCTTACTCGCTGGTTCTGGCTCTGCAGTGAGACGGGGAGTAATGAATGTTAAGCTCTCTTTCTAGGTCCCAGGCTCTACGTTTGCGGGAAAGCCGCGAAAATATCCAAACTCACAGAAGCCCTGCCTTGGGCAAGGCCTCCTCCTGTGTACTACACCAATGCCATTTTTATCACTATATCAATGCAATTTTTATCACTACACCAATGCAATTTTTATTACCTGACTTTTATTTGTAAAATGTGTAATTTACTTCATTAAAAAAATCCAGAGGTGATTTACCAAAACACATACATAACAGATTTCTTTAAAAATTAGGAAGATAGAGGCCAGCGCCACAGCTCACTAGGCTAATCCTCCGCCTTGCGGTGCCAGCACACCGGGTTCTAGTCCCGGTCGGGGCGCCGGATTCTGTCCCGGTTGCCCCTCTTCCAGGCCAGCTCTCTGCTGTGGCCAGGGAGTGCAGTGGAGGATGGCCCAAGTACTTGGGCCCTGCACCCCATGGGAGACCAGGAGAAGTACCTGGCTCCTGCCATCGGATCAGCGTGGTGCGCCGGCGGCGGCGGCCATTGGAGGGTGAACCAACGGCAAAGGAAGACCTTTCTCTCTGTCTCTCTCTCTCACTGTCCACCCTGCCTGTCAAAAAATTAAAAAAAAAATTAGGAAGATAGGTGGGCATTGGGTCTAGTGGTTGAGACTCCTGAGTCCCACATCTGAGTACCTGGGTTCGATCCCTGGCTCCAGCTCGCGATGGCAGCTTCCCACCAATACAGCCCCTAGGGGGCAGCAGGTGGTGGCTCAAGTCATTCACTGGGTTCCTGCCACCCAGGTAGGAGACCTGGATTGAGTCCCTGGCTCCTGGCTCCAGCCCTGGTCCAGTTGAAGCTATTTACTGAGTGGGGGCCGGCGCCGCGGCTCACTAGGCTAATCCTCCGCCTAGCGGCGCCGGCACACCAGGTTCTAGTCCCAGTTGGGGCGCCGGATTCTGTCCCGGTTGCCCCTCTTCCAGGCCAGCTCTCTGCTATGGCCAGGGAGTGCAGTGGAGGATGGCCCAGGTGCTTGGGCCCTGCACCCCATGGGAGACCAGGAAAAGCACCTGGCTCCTGGCTTCTGCTATCGAATCAGCGCGGTGCGCCGGCCGCAGCGCGCCGGCGGCGGCGGCCATTGGAGGGTGAACCAACAGCAAAGGAAGACCTTTCTCTCTGTCACTCTCTCTCACTGTCCACTCTGCCTGTCAAAAAAATAAATAAAAATAAAAATAAAATAAAAATAAATAAAAAAATATTTACTGAGTGGGTTGCCAGGGAGAATAATTATGTCTCAGAGGAAGCAGAGGGGGCAAAGGAACTGCCCGGTGGTATGTGGCTCCCTTGAACTTGTTAAAGTTGGAAGGCTGTCAAGCAAGGGGCTCCTGCGGGGTGACTCATCAAAAGATGTGTTCTGTATGGGGATGGGATTTTGGCGGTGGGACCTTTGGGTGATTACAAAGAAGGGTAGAGCCCAAAGGGTGGGACTGGTGCCCTTATAGAAGACGCCCAAGGGAGCTCATTCCCGGAAGGGAGGTGCAGTCTCTGAGCCAGCAGGTGGGGTCTCTCTGAGTCTATTGGCACCTTGACCTTGGCCTTCCAGCCTGCAGGGCTGCGGGAGGTAAGGTTCTGTCACTTGCAAGCCACCTTGTCTGTGGGATTTTGTTATAGCAGCCCAAAGACAGGGCCTGGAATCAGAACTGAAATTACACACTGGCTGGTGTGTGTGGGGGTGGGGAGTATGTGTGGGGGTGGGGGCGTCTTACAGAATGGACCATATTTGCCAAGAGCAGACACCCAGAAAAGGCTTCTATACGAATGTCTCTGAGCAAAACACTGAGCACAGTGGATAAACTGGACTTGACTTGCAGGCCTTCCATCGGAGAGAGCCACGGGTCTTCCCAGAATCCAGAGCCACTGTAAACAGGTAATGATTGACCTGTCAGCTTCTCAACACACTGGGAAGAGGCATTGGCAATGAGCAGACAGGGTGAGGCTTTCTCGTTCTTTCCCGGAAGACATGTCCCCAAACTCACTCCTTCACAGGCCTGAAGAGTCACTGACATCACAGAGCTGGCACCTGCCTCATTGCTAAAGTACAGGCTGAGAACTGGAAATGCGCTAGGAACCCACCCCACATCCAAGGCTTGCGGGTTCTCAGAAGACACTGCAGATAGGGCGGAGGGAAGCCAAGGCAGCTTCCTCGGGCTCCTCCCAGGTGCCTGGGCCGGAGGGGAAGTGCCTGGGGAGGAAGGGATAGACTCTCCTACGTCTAAAAAGATGGGAGGGAGCAGAGGGAATGGAGAGAACGGGGAAGTTGGCTGACTGTTGGGACAGTGCCCTCTCCCTCCAAGGTCCTGGCCACCCCCATCTGATAGAAGGGTGCTTCCCCATCCCCCACCCCCACCTCACAGAAGTCCGCTTTGGAGAAAACTTCCGTTGGGGAGAAAGTGCTGACAGGGATGTGGGTTCCCTTGAGCAGTGTTTCTCCTGTTGCCCCCGAATGGCATCAACAGGTGCAGGCATGCACAGCGGCCCCTGGGAGACTGGGATGTGACCACCCCGCTGGCCGTGGGTGCTCTGCAAACAGTGGGGGCTAAAGCACTCAGGATCCAGCTGCATTGGCACAGTCCCTCTCCCTGCCAGCTCTGTCACCAGCTGTGAGTGACACGCTCTGGCCTGCACCCACCATATAAGAACGAGTCCCGCTGGAGGGTGGCTGGATCCAAGTCTGCGCTTCTGACACAGCGAGAAGCAAGCACTCGCAGGGAACGAGAAGCCTTCTTGCTGCATGTGTCAGCGGAGGCGGTGCGAAGGCAGTGTGCCTCCAGTATCCTGTCAGAGATTTGGGGGTGTAAGACATGGCGGGCAGGGGAGGGGGCAGGGGAGCGTGTGTAATATTCAGAAAATACCAGAATGTGTCTGACACTCCCCATCCTTGGAACCCTCTTTTCTTTTTCAAATTGTATTTATTTTCATTTTATTTATTTATGTTTATTTTATTTATATTTTTTTATTTTATTTATTTGAAAGGCAGAGTTACAGAGGCAGAGAGAGAGAGAGAGTCTTCCATCTGCTGATTCACACCCCAGATGGCTGCAACAGCTGGAGCTGGGCCAATCCGAAGCCAGGAGCTTCTGGATCTCCCACATGGGTGCAGAGGCCCAAGGACTTGGGCCATCTTCTACTGCTTTCCCAGGCCACAGCAGAGAGCTAGATGGGATGTGGAGCAGCCGGGGCTGGAATTGGCGCCCATATGGGATGCCAGTGCTGCAGGCGGCAGCTTTACCTGCTATGCCACAGCGACGGCCCCAGAACCCTCTTTTCATGCCGAGTTTGTGTCTCCAGTTTCTTCCCATCTTGTTTGGGTTTTCCCCTACCAGCACATCTCTCAACCTTTGAGCTTCAGTCTGAATTTGGCTCCCCAAGCAAGGAGCCTGGGTCCTCACATGGTACTTGCACCTGGGGATGGCTGTGTGTCAGTGAATCTGTGGGTAGCAGACACCAGCACAGCCCACCCGCTTACCCCCTCCACACCTCCCCTTTAGCGTGGCTTCCTCGCCCAGCGCCAGCTGCTTCCAGCTCCCAGATGCCAGAAGCCTGAGCTCCAGCCACAGCACACCCTCTGCTCGCACCACCGTGAATCGGCACCCAAAATTTCCCACTCCATAGTCATCTGTCCCTCCCCCGCCTTGCGGAAAGGAAAAGGCACACACGCACGGGTTATTAAAATGGACTGTTTATATTATCTCAGTTGAGTCAATACATTATAATGTATTAAAATGGAAAGGTACAAAATTGAAATAAATACTTTCTGATTCATGTATAAATCTTTTTTTTTGTCAAGATGACTTTTTTTTTGTCAGTACATGTCACAAGAAAACATTTAAAATGACACCAAAACAATCATTGAAATCATGGTGCATGGAGGAAAAAGGTAAAGAAAACAACTTTTGGCTTGTTTTGGCATGAGACCTTGATACAATTTGGGTTCCCCAAAACCATGTGAAGGGTGGTAAAATAGAAATGCTCAAAATTGACTTAAAAAAATAAACAGGCTTTACAAAAACCCTCTTTTTTTGTTTTTGTTTTTTTTTTTTTGTTTTTTGTTTTTTGTTTTTTTTCTTTTTTCTTAACCCAGCCACTTCTCTACACGGTCTGCACTTACAATAGATACATTCATTATTGTCCACGGGAAGACAGCTACCTGCCTTTCATTTTAAAGAGCTTGGTGGAGAGGCTGAAGAATCTGCTGCAGTCTGGTGCGCATGGGGGTGGGGGGAGGAGTCCAGATCTGAAGTAGGCTGAGGACGGGGGAGGGGTCTCTCCTTGGAGCAGTCCTGGGTTTGTCCCCAGCCTGGGAACACCGCTCTGTGACTAACAGGCCCACTCTGGGCTTTGTCCCAGGGTGGGGACAGGCTTCCAACGGCCGCCCTGGGAGGGCCTCTCTTCTGGTTCTGACTGCATATTAGGTGGCTGTTAAGGCAATAAGGACTTTAGCAAACTAGAAGTTTAGGGCAGCTAACTCCAGCCAGATCGAAGGTAAACAAAAGGTGAGAAGGAGTCCCCTTCCCCTCGGCTCCCCTTTCCCAGGCCCAGGGAGCCTCGGCCCGGAAGCTCCGAGTTTACAGTACGCAGTAGCACGGGGCTCACCCTCAGGAAAGCTCCCGGAATGAAGGCTCATCCCTTGACTGGGGGCAACGCGACCGAAGTGTCCACTCTCCAGAAATCCCTTTCCTGTGGTCACCCAGCTGGCAAGCGGAAGGTGGCAGCACCAAGGTTCCCGCTGAAGTTAGGGCAAGACCTTTGCTATTGTGGGCTGGCCTCGAGCACCAGGCGTCCCAGAAAGCCAGGCTGGGAGCTCGCACGTCCCGAGAGACCCACACTCAGCTGGAGAAGAGGACAAACCTTTCTGGGTTCAGGCATGTGCCCCCAGACCCCATGGAACGACAGCTACTGTGCCCATGGGAATGTGGGGTCCTGGCTGGGCCTCTAGGGGCGTGCCAGATGTTCCTTGGACTTGACTCTACTCACAGAGACATGTGCAAAAGACAGAAGATTAGCAGGGAGTTGGATCAGAAGTGGAGCAGCCAGGACTCGAACTGGTGCCCATGTGGGATGCTGGCACTGTAGGCAGTGGCTTTACCCGTTACACCACAGTGCCAGCCCCCAGAAGACAGGGCAGAACAGACACAACAGCCCTTCCCTTCCTCTGTGCTCTGGAGTGCAGGAGATAGACAGTTACCTCCAAGTACCAGGGGACAGATGAGCAGTGACAGCTGCCTGTTATCTGGTGCTGACTGCTAGCAACATGCTGGGGATGTGACTGGTGATGCTCTAGAACTGGGTCTCGAGTGGTTGCTGCCAAAGTCTACAATGACCTCAACTGGCAAACACATCCTGCATGGCTATGGCAGGGCAGACAGACGACAGCTCCATCCTCTAACACTTGCTAGCAATATAGAAAGAACTCTCCATGAGCGGCCTGGGGCCTGGGGATACGGTGGCCTGGAGATACCACCCTCTAGTTACTCTTGGCCACCCCAAGCTGGGGCTCTCATGGGGCCAGGATGTATGGGAGGAGAAACAGCAGTGGCAATAGCCAGCCATTGGGGACCAGTTCCTCACCAGGCCTTTCTCTGCTGGATATCATCTTGTTCGTGTCCTGTGGGCGATATTTTATCCAGACAGCTGAGAGTTCCAATAATAAACCAATCTCTTAATTGATTGATTGGTAGGTCTGTGGGACTTCCTTGTGCAATTCTCCTTTATAAGGGTTTAAATATAGTTTCTAAGGCATTCACCATGCAAAACAAGGCTCCTTGGAGGTTATCTAGCTTAGTCCCTCTATTGCAGATAGAATCCAGTGGTTAAGGGCAGGCAGTTATTTTAGTCTGGAACCCACAGTCTTTCTGCACAGTTAGGGTGTTCTGCTTGAATTTATATTCGTAACTCAGTGTCATGTTCTTTGGCTCTGCTCTTGCTAGGCTGACGGGAAGGGAGCTAGTATTTAAAGTCCCGCCCATCAGCCTTGGGAACCTAGTCGTCATGGCAAGTACCCCTTCAGCCCTTGGCTGGGCTTGCACCCCCGTCCTGGGACGCCAGTGGAGCTCGGGGAAGACAGCAGCCGTGGCTGGGCTGTTGCGATGAGCAGCGAGCTCGTCTGCAGGCGGCAGCTGCTGGCAGAGGTGTTGGGGTCACTGCAGTGCCTATGGTAGACTTGTTGAAGAGCCTGGGGGAACACAGAAGCTCTACTGCTGAGCAGTTTAGAAAAAAAAAAAATTCAAAAATGAAGGTTTGGTGACTTCCACTAGGTGGCGCAGGAGCACACCCCCAGAAGAGCAGAGCGTGCAACATGACCAGGAGCTAGGAAGGTACTTGATGAAGAGTTGTATCAGGGCAGTGGGATAACGAAACAGCATATTTTCAAGATCTATCACATTTTCTAGCTTAAAAAGATAATTATCATAACCACTATTATTTATATCAAGCAAATTAGCTCGGGGACCTATGGCCCTTACTTGGGGATTAGGAGTGCTACCGGAGCTGGCTGACTATGTGGGTAACTGCTCCCAGGGAGGGCCAGTTCTGTACGTTCCCTTTCCCCATACAGCCACCAGGGGGTGCTCTGCAGCTCCAACATTTTGAGATGAGAATCCTGGCCCCACTTTCCAACTCTGAAAGGACGAGGCCATTACTATAGCCACTCCCCTCCTCTCAGGACAATCTCCAGCAGAATAGGCTACTCACGCTGGCTCCTGGGCCCCTGGCCACGGTACAAGGCCGGGTGGGGGCCGGGGTGGGGTGTCAAGGGCTGGAAGAGCCCTTAGAAGCAAGAAAGCCCTTTAAAAAATCCACAACTCAGGAACTTGATCTCTTTCGAGAAACAGCACCATAATCTAGTAGGAACCAAAGTCATTTCTCCATTTTATAAGGAAGACACTTTTAAGAAGTAGAGCCCGAGGGAACAGCCGGCTCTTCTTGGGGCTGACACCGTCAGAATCAAGGGGCCTCTGTAGCAAACTGTCAGTTTGATTTTGAAAATTCAAATAGAATGGCATTCTAGATCGGATCTAAACCAGTCTCAGGTTAATGTGAGCTTTGGCGGACAAACCTCAGGGAGTCCTCCTACAGGGAAACAGGACAAGCCAGGGGCTTCCCAGCTCCCTGAAGGGGAAGCTGAGGCTGGGAGGTGTGCTGGCATTTGCATGACACTCAAAGTTCCTGGCTCTACCACTCTGCACGAGAAAACCACACTTTGACTTCCGGAGCCTCCGTGGAGATAAATGTTAGCAGAGAGGAGGGCACAGAAAACACACAGAGAAGGGATGTTTATGGAGACTTGCAGATTAACCAGTTCTGGGTAATGGGACACTCTTCCCAGAGAGGCCAGGTGCCTCCGCGGTGGGAGGCAGCCAGGAAAGGGGGAGTGGCTACAGGAGAGATGGGGTGTGGCTACAGGAGAGCTGGGGGAGTGGCTACAGGAGAGATGGGCTCCTGTGTGGAAGGAGGAGCTACTCTGTGATGGGACTAAGTGAGGGCCGGTTACAAGCTTAGACTTGACTCTGTCTTATTTTCATTGTTCTTTGCCCCTTCAACCTATGTGTAAATAAGACATTAGCTCATTTCTTGTCCCAAATTCTTAGCCCCTTACCTTGGCTTACCCAGGGCTGGGTTGGGAGAAGGGAATGTGTAGAAGTGTGTTCACAATGACTGTAATCATTGAGAAAACAACCCCCCACCGACTTATAGCGAGTGTGACAGTTTGGGAAATGTCATCTGAATTTCCTACATTAAAAGGAGGACTCTGAGCTAGTGATTATCACTCAGGAGAGGGACAAAAGAGCTGTGGGGGTGGCCCGTCTGAGGGGGCTCAGCTTGTTCCCACCTATGTTTCTTTGGGGACGTTACTTCTCTCTGGGGGTCCAGTTTCGGCATTTGTAAGGGGAGGAGCCTGGGCCACATGAGCTCTGAGGTCCTTTCTGACATTCACAGTCTGTGCTGCTAGAGAGCTGCTATCCGTGTTGACTAGACATGAGGTAGGGACTGAATTCTAGTATCATGGAGGTCTCTACCGGCCTTGCAAAGCAAGCAAGCAAACCTTGTTCCTGGGGAACCATGGGTAAATTTTCCAACAGGTTCTTGGGCCTCCTGGCCACTATCAGCATGTTCACCTAGCTCCATCTGAATTCTGCCCTGGCAAGAACCAAGCAGGACAGGAGCAGGAGCCATCACGTCTCTGTGCAGTCAGCCTTGAGTCTGAGGCACAGCAGGAAGTGCATTCAACCCTAATGCAATGTTCAATACAGTGTGAACGAGGCCCACCCGCAAAGCACACGATGCGATCAATGCTCGTGGCCGCAAGTCACGGAGGAGGGAAGTGCCTACGAGAAAGAGATGCTGTCAAATACTTGAGGGCTAAGCTCTTAACTTCAAGAGGGCCAGAGGCAGGGACATCGAGGTGCCCTTGGCCATCGGGATGGATTTTTTTTTTTTTTTTACTGCAGAGCCAAGAAGCCCAAGGACCTCAGAGGACTGGCTCTGCCTCCAGATTTGAAGAGAAGGGACTGCCCATTAGATGCACTATCCTGCCAAAAGACCAGAGTCAGCAAAAAAACAGATGCTGGAATATCATTTAATACCAACTGTGGATGCTGGTTCCTGACGATTGAGGGGGACAGCCTGTGGGGGTTCTAGGTGTGGAAATAGAGAATGGCAAACTCTTTCTGTGCCCAGGAAAAAAAAAAAACATGCCTATGGATTTTGACTCAGTTAGAGAAAAGCTAGGATTCTAGGACAGAGATTCAACTCCATTGAGCAGAGATGTTGCTGCCAGTTCCATCTATGCAGGGACCAAGCTCACAGAAGAGATACCTGTGGATCACAGGGTCATCTTGAACAAGAACACTTGAGCCTTTTTAGACACGTCTGTCCCCTGAGCAGGTCCCCATGTCTGCAGAAGGATAGGTGATGCTGTGAGTGAGCATTGTCCTCAAACATCCACCAATTAAATCTCTTAGGTAGTTAAAAATCCACTTTTAAGTGCACTGAAGACCCAAGAAACTGTAGCTGCCTCTTCCTCCCCAATACTGCCTGTCCTGATCTTACAAATGGTGAAGCTGAGGCACAAGGAAGCAACTATTTTTTATGCAGTCCCCCTTTTGATCTGGTGACGCTCCTGGGAGGAAAGCCCAGGATCTCTGGTCCTTGGGGGTCGTCCATTGTCTTTCTGCTTGTCTATCTGTCTACAATACTTTATATGTCTTTTTATGTATAAAATATAAATCATTTTTACCTTCCTGCTTGACTTCTTGTCCTTTCCTCCTCCTTTATATTAACTAGGTTAGCGGGGGGAAAAAGATGTTCCATGACGAGGGAAAAACCACAGTACTGCTCCAGCAGGAGAGGTGTCGGCCCTTGTCCATGGGGCCCTGGGGTGCTTCAGATCTGGACTGCACAGCAAGTGAGAAGGGACGCAATTCAACAGAAATCAGCAATGGAGATGTCTGTGCCAGACAAAGTGAACTTCCACAACCTGGTTTTAAGGAACAGTCGATACACTAGAGATAGATAGATACACTATGCTGAATCTTGAGTACTAAAACAACTTGTAAATATAATTATGCTAAATTAAAGAAGACAGACATCATAGGGAAGAGTCTGGTCAACAACCAATCACCATTAGAATCAAAAAGGAAACCGGCCTTGTCACTGAGTACCTCCACAACGTTTCTCAATGCACTAAGTACATTTTAACCATGCAAAAATACACAAACGTCTTAACTAGGTTGTTTTTTTTTTGTTAAAAAAAATCAAACACCAACATTATGCATTTTTGTTAATTATATTGGTTAAAGTTAACAGCCAGTGGCCGCCAAATATCAGATACATCATATACATATTTTTATACAGAATCTGGACAACACAACATTACACATCAGAGAGAGAAAGAGAGAAAAAGAGAAAGAGATTATTTGTTCCTTTGTGGGTTTGTTGTTGTTGTTCAGGAAAAAAAATATGAGAAGCAATGCTAAGAAGGAAAACACTTCAACAAGTTAGGAATACATAGGGAGAATTGCTAATCAGAAATACAGGAGGAAAAGAGTTCATATTTAGGTCTGTGTCTAGAATTTTCTTCACTAAGAAACCAAGGAGCACAACAGGTGTATTGGTTTGGAAAAGCGGAAAGAGCGATAACATCATGCTGTCTGGTTCCCAGCACGTTTCCAGCAAGAAGAAAAAAAAATCATAATCACAAATTAATTTCACGAGTTTTGTTTTCAAAAAATGTCCTCCCTTACCCAGGAACCTGGGTAATGCAGGGGTAGGGGCAGCTCAGTTGAGAGAGTCCTTGGCAAAGGTTTGGCCAATGCCATTGGCCTTAAATTAGTTGGAGATATGAGCTGTCTGTGGGAATTCACGCAATGAAATGCGACGTCAGCTTGCTCCATTTAGGCAAGATTTCCCGTTGCCAGCCAGTGATCTGGCCGAAGACACAACCCCCAATGACAGGTTCTGCTAGCCGGGCCCCAGTCCTGCCCCTTAAGCATTTGGCATCAACACAATCTTAAGAAGTCAACCTGGAAAGAAAACAAGACCTTGAACACAAGCTATGGAAGCACTACTGTGGTCACGGTTGGATACAAAAATGTGAAAATTCAGATGTAATCAAAAATACAAAATCAGTTTTGATAAGATTTGCTTTTTTTTTTAAACCATTACAGTGCAAGGTTTTTCAAATTACAGTAAAAGTTATGTGTTTGCTTACAGTAACTAGAATAAGTAGCTGATTTTGTTCTGCTAGAATCAGAGATCCCTGATAAGTGAGAATGCACCAATCGGAAATCAACCCCACACAAGAAATGGATATCGTAACAGAAACACAGTTCACTGCGGTCTTCACCCCTTGCAACAGTATGAAAAGAATGGTATCGTTTGCACAACTCATTAGCATGAGGGTCTTCTTCCATTGGGAAAAAAATGATAATAAACAGATGGTATTAAATGTCCAACAAGAAAAGGACTGGAAATCCGGGGCTGAATGGTGGAGGATCTGAAGGGAGTTTCCCATGTCACTGAGCTTTTCCCATTGTACTTTTCTCAAAAATGATGGTTTTGCATGAGCCTCTTTGGGCAATGCTACTTTGTGCTTCTGCCCCCTTGTCCCAGTCTGTGGGGAGAGGGGGCGGCACCACCTCACTGGTTGAAAGGAAAATGTAACTGGAGTCACAGTCCATTGTGCCAACAAGAGTCACCCCCACTACACACCCAGGAAAGAAAATAGAACAAAAGGAGGCCTGGGAGGCGGGGCAGGGCAGGGTTGGGGGCAGGCAGAGGAGCCTCCACTTGGCAAAGAGAAACCCTTGCCAGGGCCATGCTACTGCTTAGACTCTCATCTCATGCTCGGGAAGGGAAGGGAAGGGAAGGGAAGGGAAGGGAAGGGAAGGGAAGGCATCAAGGACCCCAAGTGACATCTGAGCAAAAGCTGCCACTCCCACAGAGCCTCACCTTGGGGGCAGTACTGAAAAAGAGCCATGTGGCTAAACGAAGCGACTAGGCGACCTGCTTCATGCTCCTGTTACAAGACATGAAAAACAGCGAGGCTGACTGTGGCTTTGTAGCCATGACCACAGCCTGGCATGGCCACTGGAAAGCTGCGAGGAGCCCTCCCCTCCATGCCCAGGAGGAGGGGCTGCACGTTTGGCACTTTGGGTACAGACAGAAGGCCGGGAACCAGCAGAAGTCACATAGCATACTTGTTGGTTTTTGGCCTCATGAACCCCTCTCTGGCTTCATCCTGGTGCCCAAACTCAAGAAAACCACTCTGTGAACCATTCGATTGGCCCTGTCTACCTCCTTACATTCCCTCCTAACAGACCAGGGGCAAGCTCTTCTATTTTAAACAGCCAGAGGCTGCCATTTAGGGCAGGAGATTAGCCAGTCCTCTGGGTGGGCAGCACGCTGTCCAAAATCCCCTGGGATGTCATGGGTGGTCTAATCCACCTGCTTCCTTCCAGTAACTTGCCTGCATATAGATGAACAAACCCTTTACTCACACCTATAGCCCAAGAAATGGAAGAAAAGCAAACTCCTCTGCCATGTTAGGAAGTTTTTCCTATCTTTGAAAGACTGTGAGACCAGGAAGCACTCAATTATTTGGTTAAGATCTGGCCATTGAAAGAGGTTCCTCTAAAAAAATCTGCCAACGTCTTCAAGAAGACAAGACTGTGCCCCTAGACCACGAGGCTCAATGTTCACCAGCGTCCATGCTGCTGTGGGTCCTGCTCTCACGGTTGAGGTTGACAGCTATACTCAGTCCCATCCTGTGGCTTCCTATAGCAGGTGCACTCTGCTTATCCTGGGAGTTACAGCCGCAGGCAGAACACCCTCACTTTTTGCATATAGTGCTCCTACTTACTCATTTCTTTGGCCAGAACAGATTCTGCTTTCCTGGGCTTCCAAATCTTATCTTTTACTAAGCACTCTCAGAATTCAGTGCTCAACCATGGCTTACTGTAGCACAATGGTTTTCCTAAAAATATTGTGCTCTTTGTGGAGCCTGTTGGGCTGGTCCTCTGGAGCATAGAGGTGGCATCATCTGCTCATCGTTCTGGGAGTCACTAAGTGGTAGGTCCCTCTAAGCCAGCTGAAGTCTACAGGCATCGCCGAATGTGGGTCTTCTCCCAGATGACGGAGTTTTAAAAGGTGCAAGCTGCTTGGCCTGCATGGTCTTCACAAACACCTGTTTTCTTCATGAGCTAAATCCTTAAAGCTCTGCCTAGCTAGAGCCTCTCTCCAAATGGTTTATTTCTAATCTGGCAGTTTGTGGTTGGAACGTCCAAGGATTTGTGACTGCAGATGCGTTTACAAGACGAAAGGGCCAGAATGCAAGTAAAGAATGAGATGATGCGCAGCAGTACAGCTTAAAAGGATTAAAAACAAATTCTCCAAGAGCCCTGGAAATGCCCCAGGACACGGCTGGGATGCTCTGGCTTGGCATCTGGGACTCTGTGGTTCCATTTACCATTTGATATGGAGCCACTGCCGGCTGAAAGACATTCCCAGGGATGGTGTGGGTGGGTAGGGAGGTAGATCACCTACATGCTTCTCTCAGTGGAATGATGTTGGGACTTCACTGCCTGGAGCATCGGGTTTCAGGTTTGACTTACTCATGTGTGTCCCCTGGTGTGACCTCAAGCAGGTTAACCTCTCTGGACTTGTTTCCTCATTTTCATGTTGCCTGTGACTTTATAGGGTTATTGACAAAAGCAGAGGTGATTACTGCGTGGGTGTGGGCGAGCACTCCACAGGCATTCCAGAAACGTGGTGGGCAACTTCGTTTACTCTCATCGTGACCTGAAACAAAGTTGGATGATTTTCCATACCCAAAGCATGTCCCTAGGCAGAGTCATCTGTTGTAAGTGGGGTTGTAAAGCACAGTGAGCTTTGCAAGGCTGTTTTTGGTTTCGCTTTGTTTTGTTAGAGCAGTCATCTCTGTACATGCAGTGTAGCTGACTCTCATCTCCTGACACAATAATGCTCTGTTCTTCAGCCCAAAACACTCAAACCACTTGACCTCAGCAATGGAAAATGGACTGGAGGAAGAAAAGTATGTTTTCACCTTCAAGAGAGATATTCTGAGTATGTCTGGTAGGGTAGTGAGCAGCTGGCATCACTATTTCTTTTGAAGCAAGAGAAAAATAGAGCTCAACTGATTCAGGAGATGTGTGCCTTCCACTTGAGGAGGGTCTCCCTGCGTTCTGACACTTGGAAACAGGAGGGTGGGCCAGAAAGGGAAGAGCTAACTATTTTTCTCATCTGTGGAATGAGTGAACTTTAGGATCGGATGGGACCCTGATGTATCACCTTCATTTTCACAGAAGAGAAAACTGCTTGAGCTCATGAGTGGGTACTCCAGCTGCTGTCCTTGGACTGTAGAGAGTGGTGAGACTCTGCTTGGGGAAGAGGAAGGTCTAGACCACACAGCTTTCCGTGGTGCTGGAATGCAACAGCAAAGCCTCCTAAACTCGCTGCGCTTCTATGTCGAGAACCCATTCTCCCCCTAGTTTTGCCCAGATTTTAAATAAAATCTCTGATAAACTCATGGTAGACCTTTAGTGGTCCTGTTGCTAATTCCAACTGGGAGATGACAGAAAAAATAATACCTATTTCCAGAAGGAAAAAAAATTCAGTATTTTTCATAGTTGCTAAATAGTGAAGACTTCTCAAAAAAACTACCCACTACTGACATAATATTTAGCTTTCAAATAGACTTACTTGGAGATAAATATACTGTGTTTTAGAATGGGGCACCTGTTAAGTGATGAGTGCAATGGATATGGCATGCTTTGAAAAAGTACCATTTGACATATCTCAGTATTGCTACAACAATAGAAGAGTGACGAGGAAGGATCATTTCTTCAAGACTGATGAGAACTTGTGTTGGCCTAAAGGGTATTATGGATCAGTATAGGGCTTCTTATTTCACAAGGAATCTTTGGGGTTAGGTGGCTAACACAAGACCTGTGGCAACCGCTATGTAATAATAGGTCTCATTTCTCTTTTGGCTGTCCCTAAGAGAATATCTTTCTCCTTTGTTCTGTTACCCATGAATCAATTAATAGCATACCACTTAACCTAAACTTTGTAAGTCCATAAGACCCAGGATGGAGGCATATAGTTTGTGGACATGAAGAAATGTGACTAATAACAATAGCCAGAATGCTCTAAGGATGTTGAGTTGCAGGTTTTCTACTTGTCCTCGAAATGAGGCAGTACAGGGGCCCATTCTTCAGTTTGTATGTTAAGGTGAACAGTTATGGGTGAAGCAACTCTCTTTCTAGAACAAGCTTTATCAAAGAAAGAGGTATCTTTTCATTATTCTCTTCCTCTTTTTGTCTCCTCTTTCTGGTTAAGCCATTTTTTCTTAAGACAGTATTGCTTTTGAGAATGGTTCAAAACTGGCAGTCAAGGGAGTCAACGTGTTGGTGCATTCTGGGGGTTACTTCTAGGGAAAGGAGAGGCAGAGTAGGGTTACATCATGTTCATTGTTTCTCACAAACAGCACCTAATGTCCTACACTCAGGATATGCTGTCTATAAGGAATGCTCAGCTGTCCTTCAGAAAGACAGATGAAGGCAGAGAGCTCATGACACCCGCCATGCCATGTCCTTCTCCGAGCCCAAGCGTGCTAAGTTGTCTTCCTTTACATTGAATTCAGAGAGATTTATTTGTATTCACCACTTTCAGTCCTATCTCTAGGATTTAGCCTCCCTACAAGACTGTGCATTTCTTGGGGAAAGGGTCTATTACATGCCTAAGATCTTTGCTGTTGATGAGTAAGTAAGAAGATCAGCTAAAGAACAAAATGAATTGACTGTGCAAGAGTTCAGGAATATGGCTGAGCCCTTGGTTCTAAAGAGAATCTCTTCCTTTAGCCTCATGAATGATGGCTGCCAGTTTTGACAGCTGTCAAGAGGGAAAGTGATGTCTTCTCAAGCTCTCTGAAGCCCAGTTCCTGGGCAACTAATTTGATGACAGTGACTTTTGTTGGATGCACAGCTTCACTGCTTTTCAACAGTCTGAGCTCCAAAAAATTATTGGGTTTCTCAACGCTCTGACCCCTTCTCTACAACATGGAGGAATCCCACTGAAAGGACCTCCTGGGAGAGCTCAGAAAAACATCAGTTGACTTCAAAAGTAGGTTCTCATAGGATCTGTTAGGCATTTTTTCAGGAAAAATCTTTGGAAAGAAGGAAAAATGTCTTTCCATATGTTAGAGAGTTGAGCTGATGCCCTAGGGCCCCTAGTCTTTGGCTCCTCAAGATGAGTTGTTTATACGTCACAGGTCAAGCCGTCCTTGGCTGTGGCAGGTCAGGGTAAAAAGGTGCCACTGTAGGGATACACTCTCAAAGTTTAATTAGGCAGGAGAACAAAAAGAAAGGTAAAACGCCCCCACCAGTTTGCAAGAGAGTACATAGTCAGAGTAATGAGAAAAGGCAGGGAGCTTTCAATGAAGACCACTGAGCTCACATTGAGGTTTTCATCTCATGAATTCAGGGAAGCTGAGGAAACTATTCAACTGCCTAAGTCTCCTTTTCTTTATCTGTAAAACACAGCTATATGTTATATCCCTCTAGCTAATAAGGTCATTATAAAGAATAAGTTAGGTAAATCAAATAAGAAAATATATAGAAATACACTAGCAAATTGGTATGAAGCAAGGGCTCAGCCACTATGAGTTAAATCTGAGAGGAATGACAGTTTAAGTGACACATTTGTGAGTAGATGACATGGTGTGCAAGGAACACAGAAGATAGTGAGGGTCTCCGTGTCACACTCAGGGGCTGTGCATGTGTGGTCAGGCTCAGCAGAACCCCAGCTGGTGGGTGATAAAGAGAACTGTCAAAATTTAATATCTTGAGGCTGGCACCGCAGCTCACTTGGCTAATCCTCCGCCGGCGGCGCCGGCACCCCGGGTTGTCCCGGTTGGGGCGCTGGATTCTGTCCTGGTTGCTCCTCTTCCAGTCCAGCTCTCTGCTGTGGCCCGGGAGTGCAGTGGAGGATGGCCCAAGTGTTTGGGCCCTGCACCCGCATGGGAGACCAGGAGGAAGCACCTGGTTCCTGACTTCAGATCGGCGCAGCAAGCTGGCCACAGTGCACCGGCCACAGTGCACCAGCCATAGCGGCCATTTTGGGGGTGAACCAACGGAAGGAAGACCTTTCTCTCTGTCTCTCTCTTTCACTAACTCTGCCTGTCAAAAAAAAATTTAATGTCTTGAAGTTTGGAGGCCAACATGACTTGTGCAACATAGAAGTCTGCTCTTTTTCAATGCATGCTGAGCTGACTTGGCTGTTCTATTAGCTCCATGGATTGCAGGTGGCCACCATCCTACCCATTCTGAAAATGTTCTATGCCACAGGTTGGCAATGATAGAATTATTTTGGGGGGTCTTAAAGTGACAATAATTATAATGAACCACACACTAGGGAATTTGGCAAGTCCTATACAATTTGTTCTATTAGTTAAGTTCTAAAGTTCAGAGCCACCATCTCCTGGATTTCTACTCAGACAAGCTGAGAATCTGAAGTCTGTACCTAAGGCCAGGAAATATTTTGAATGGTAAATGCCAATTCCAGGAACAGAGCCATCCATGGGTAGTTCCCAGACTTGTCCTGATTCTTTGTGTCTTTGCATCTTTCATCCAATGTCTGAACAGCTGTGTGTGTGTGTGTGTGTGTGTGTGTGAACTCTCAGAACATGAAAATAAGTTGAGCAAACTTTGGGAGAATCTGAGTGAACTGTAGACCACTGGGAAAAAAACTATTTTTCTTGGTCTACTTTTTAGTGTGTTTTCATGGTATCTGGAAAGACCTGAAACCATTCCACAAAGTTAAGGAGAAACTGGGCCTTATCCCAAATTCCAATGACTGAGTCCCCCATTATAACATACTGTGCCCATAAAGAGCAGTCTTAGGCTGTTACAGCAAGTGCCCACGCAGGATCAAGTTTGCACGGCTCAAGTCATTCTGCGTGGCTGTGGTGCACACTCTCAGCTGTTGTGTGTTTGTGGTCAGGTCCAGAAATTTGGCCTGACTAGCATTGTGCTGAAATCTTAAACAGAGACTGGGCTTTTCTGTGTCTCTTGGGCAGCTTTGGGCTTTCAGGAATTTCATTCCTTATTAAAATTTCTCCCCCCTGGCCTTAAAAACTCATTGGTCCCAGAAATCAAACACTGAGTAGTCCATTAACAAATGGTTTTCTGATGTGCCCCCACTGGTGAAGATATACAAATGTCCACTTCAAGTCTCATTCCTCCTGACTTCCACAATATGTGTAGGACCAGAAAGATGGCTTTTAGATATAACAAATCTGCAGGGAACGAAACTGTGAGCCAAGGCACACATAGGAATACATATGAGCACCCACACGCCCAGCTCTGGAGGATGTCCATGAAGCCTTTGACGAGGGAGTGTAGTTATTGGCCCTAATGAGCCATTCCTTGGATCACATTGGAAAACCCAGAGTTAATCTAGGTGCAGCTTAGGGACTGTTAGGTCAACAAGGTTGGGTGAGTGTTAACGAACACTGGAAGTGGCAGTATGGTTTAAAGATGTGCTTCTGGAAATTGTCTTGCTTTCTCATCAGACAGTCTTCAACATCTTAAGTGGATGATTAATGCAACATGATGGTGAACACATCTAGCCCTCTATTCCTGTCTTCATACAGCCCATGAATCCTTCAAAATCCACCTTAAGCGCCAGTCTTTTCAAGCCTTCCTGTATCACTTCCTGTTCTGGATGCCTGTAGTCCCTCGCACCACTCTTTGAACCCTATTTTTTTTTCCCTCTGTATTAGAGTTATTTATGTATATCTCTTGCTTCTCCTATTAAATTCCTTGGGTTTTTTTTTTCTTTAGATCCCTATAGCCCTATACTTGGTATAGTGAGTGTTAAATAAGTATTTGATAGTCAATTGATAGACTGAATTTGAAATGGGAATAGTGCTATGACAAGAAAGCTCCTGTGGAGCAAAATAAATTCATTATCTGAATAAATTTATTACCTTGTCCTTTCGGGGAAGGTCAGTACATGGCAGACCCAGTAGCTTGTGAAGTCTAAGGTCAAATGTGTACAACACTTTGAATTCAGGGTCAGAGAAGCTCTTGCGACATTTGCTACACCCCATTGAAATATTCCTGCTACCTCTAGTTCAGTGACTTCTACTTTCCTCAGGCCTAGCATTTGCCCTTGTCCAGGCCACACAGAAATTGGTTAGGGAAGAAGACTCCAAACTGGGTATTTCCCCAGAAGTTTAAGAGTAACTACTACATATTAACAGGACTGAAAGAATCTGTATTTGGAATGATCAAATCCTGGGACAGCCCTTTGTCCCTTCTAGGGAGCAAAGAGGTGTTCATACTGGTAATAATGATAAAAAAAAAAAAAAACCACAGTGAACTCATGGCAGTGCAGAAAACTCCCCACAATAACCCCCCAAAAACGGTTAAACCTAAGGACCAGCCCACCGTGCAGAGACGTGTCTCTGGACAGAAAAGGAAGGGCAGAGCAGAAAATACATTTTTAACAATGAGGTTAAGCCCAGCTTTCTTTCCTTCCTCTCCATACTGGTTTTGACAATCCAGGAATTTCTCTCTCAATCAAGGGTACTCTTCCCATGAGCAAGCAGAAGATCATGACATGAACAAAACTGGCTGGCCAGGGTCAGAAGTCCTCTGACGTCTTCTTGGGTTCCCTGTAGAGTTAGGTCTACTTGGACTCTTCCTCTTTAAGAAATGGATTGAACCTGTGCTTTGAGCCACCAACACATGCACCTGAAATACCTCTACCACAGAGATGGCAAGAAGTTCCTTCTAGTAGCTCTATAATTCCTGTCATCTGTGCCCTGGGTAGGGTACAAAGGGTATGGGTGTCCAGGGAGGGAGACTCCAAGGATGGAGACGGCCTAAACCTGCATGGAGAGAGAAAGCAGCCCAGTGTTCACCAGTGTTCAAACTTCAGAAGGGTCTCCTGTGAACAACTTCCTCTATGGAAAAATTGGGGAATTGAGATTCACAGAAAGGCAGAGTCAACAGAGGCAGGTGTAGGTGGCTCGGCAGGTAACTTTCTCTTGATGTTGGGTGGGATGGCAGACGGATATGCAAGAAAGGATCCCGCAAAAATCCACCTTAAAAGAGGCTCCTCTGAACCCACCATAGCTATATTACCAAAAGAATAGGGAATAATAAGAATTGTGCTTTCTAGTACCTAAAAAAAAAGGCATTTCTTAAACATTTAGTTATTTCAAAGGAAATACTGGAATCTTGGGAAGCTCAGTGAGGTGGCAAATTCCTCAGAATCAAAAGCCAACTCTGGAAGCATATTGTCCTTGTGCCCACATGTGTGTTTGTATATGTGTGTAGCTATATCACATACTCCCACTCACCTACTTACATGTGTATATACATACAATATATATTTACCATTATACTTTTCCCCTTCAAACAACACCAGTGTGTTCCACCTTCAGCACACATTTTATATGCATTTCAATTCATAGACAGACCATTATACCATAAAAAGAGAGAGAAATAGCCAAGAACAGCAAAATATAACCTAGGCAGAATTGTTTTCAAACATCAGTTTAGCATTGTTAAAGAACAAAGCAAACCTCCCCCAATACAAGTTAAAATGTCTGTTATTCATTCATACACACCAGCAATTCTTTATGACCATCAGAAGGAAAAAAGAAAACCTAACATATTATGAAATTGAACCTCAGGGTTTTTTTTTCATTATTTGTCCCATTCATTGTATGTATTTTATGGGAAAAAGTTATCATTTGTGGAAATGATTTTCCCCCTTCAATTACACTTTTTCCCAGCTCCCAGGAGCTGGGGAATAATAAAACATGTATAGGGTTTTGCTGAATTATCATTTGTAAGGATTTTTTATTACTGTAGATTATAGACCTTTCTTCATCCCATTTAAAACATATTTCATAAATCTGAGAAAAGCCTTACGTATTTAGGCCAAAGACACAGAAAAACAAGAGTTATTGAACCATATAAATTATCTAGTGCTCACGACCTAGTTGTGCTTAGCTAAACAAAAGGAATTCTGTTCAAACACATAGAAAATCAGTGGCAGACAATCCACCTTTTATTCAAGGTCCCGCGAACCTGTCCTGCAATTTTTCAGGATTCTTCTGGAAAACTTGAGTCTTTACAGCATCACTGGCTTGGAGACTACAAATGTTTCCAAATCACCATCCCTCTGAACACATGGTATGGAAGAGAGTTCCCAAAGGTTTAGAGAAGAGTTGGGGGCTGGGTACAGGGTAGTTCACCACAAACAGTACAACACATGCTATCAACCCAGAGAAAACGGCAGTCAAAAAAGTCAAAAGCAGCCAAATCAGACAAGAATGCAAGGGAGTCCGTGAGTACCATATTCCATGCCAAGAAATTGAAACTAAAAAAATAAAGCTGGACATAAAATTATCATTGAAAACTTCAAAAAGTCAAAGCCAAATCAATGTTTCCTTTTTCCCCCTACGCACAAATCTTTCATTCTAAACCCAACACCCAATGGCGCTGGAGTTGATAATTTTATCAGGAAGATTCAAGTCTGCAGAACACTTCCCTTCCATGCAATTACTTGAGTCCACAGAAATAAAGCACCTTTGAAACCAAGAGTTGTTCAAGAATCCTAGTGTCTTATTCAATGTGTCAAAAAAAGTATAGTTAAAATAATTAGAATAATTCATCAAATGACAAAACACAACAATATTGACTCTCGTGAATAGGCAAAAGGGCTCCCGAGGACAATTCACAACTAAGAAGACAGAGCACAATAAAAGGCTATGACATTTCATGAATATTCTGTGTTATAGCTTTGAACTTTATTGCAAAGCAAAAATATATATTTTTATATATATATATTTTTATCTACATTTCACCTCTGACATTGTACACAACACGAAAGCACAGGAAACCAAAAAAATCATAATGAGGTAGATACATAACACTTACAGATGGAGGAGACTAAAGATTTTAAATTTGGCTTAATACTGTGGTCACCAATGTATGCATTTTCAACAGAGCAGCAAGCATTGATTCACAGGGCAAGAAGCCCAGTGATCTCAAATCCAAAAATAAGCCTCATTAGAAAATACCTGCTTCAAAATAGAAAAAAAATTTTTTTAAGTCGAAGAATCAAATGTGTTCAATTGCAAACCTGGCAAAATTAACAACATTTTTATTTTTGCTTTTGTGCCCAGGAAAAAAAAAATAATCTTAACTTGTTCAATTAGGAGTAACCATCCCACAGGGTTGTTCTATGTATTCTTGCCAGGTGGGGTTGGAGTGACCCTCACCTCTGCAGCTACTGTGATGAGAACCGCTAGCCTTTGAGGGCTCTTGGAACATGCTGGCTGGAAATCAACTTGGCCATGAAGTCTCTGGCAAGCTTTGCCTGTCCAAGTTCATCTGCTCTCAGAGTGGTGGAAGCAAGGAGCACCTACCAGTTGGGGACCCCTGGGATAGTCTCTTTCTCCTTATCATTTCCAATAAGAACCCTTCCAGCTCTTTCTCAGAGCTTAACAGGTCACTGAGAAAGCCATCTTTAGCCTTATCTTAACTATAAATGCACTCTCACCATCAAATGCATCATCAGGCAGTGGTAGCTACTGCAGAGACCAGCTCCCTTCTCATCCTCATGTCTGTATCCTGAATGGAAGGAGGATGGAGTGAGAAGGGAGCAGGAGAGAACCCCTGGCTGGTTGAGGCAGTGACTAGGAGAACAGAACCATGGAAACAGCAGACCAAGCAAGGGTCAGCTCAGACCAGTGGCTAGGAGAGATCTATGGGACTCCAACTAGGAAGGCAAAGAGTACCTTTCTTGTTTGTTCTAAGACTAGAAGTTTCCAAGATCCTAGAGAAAATAAGGGAGGAATGAGGCTCAGATCTATCTGTAGGGCTAAGTCCTGAATGAAATCAAGCTCCCTTGGATTATTTAATAGTTACTGTCACTCTGGACACGATCCTACGTTCTGTGGGATTTGCTCTACTTAGTAAGAGCTGGGAACAGCTGCAGGCCAGGTCAGAGAGAAGACTGAGAGGTCTAGGTGGGATGCCTGGTTCCTCTGGGGAGGTGGGGAAGATTGGAGACCACTTGAGCGAGAAGATGGGAGCAGAAGCAATGAGCACCTTGGGGAGGTGCGAAGTTGGCCCGTGCCAAATAGGATGTCCTGTCTCCCAGAAGCCTGACTGTTGACTGGACTGTCCCATGTGTTTGTGCTTCATCTCCCTGCTGGACTACAAGGAACAAAAGAGACAGTCTCTCTGCTTTGTCTTCCCAATGCCAAGCACGGCACTGGGCGTTCAGAGGGCATCCTTCAGGATGAATTGCATTTTCAGAAAACACGGTAAGAGGATCAGTTTGGGACAGAAGAGAAGGTAAGGGCAGTGTTCTCAGGGCTTTGGAGACCCTATGAATACACATCTCCCAGGCAACATCCGGGGGTCTCTTCCTGCCTTCCCTGGCCCATCTCAAGGGAAGATGCACATTTGAGTTTTGAACATAAAATGTTGGCCCCAGCGGCAAAGAAACTAAAACGAATTGATCTGATTTTGTGTGGTCACAGCAAGGGTGGGCCGCTGTCTCCAGCTTCGTGGGCTGAGAGGTTGGGGGACCAGGTGTCTGTCTGCCTGGAGCATTCAATTCAAAAGGCAAAGACAAGGTGAGCGTGTGAGTTCCACTTTTGCCTTCAAGAGTTCCTGGTGAGGCCAAGGGTGCTTCCAAGCGTCCAAAAGCTCATTAATCCAGGGAACAGGTCTCTGTTTCCTAAGCCACCCAAATCAACAGAACTCGGCCAGATTGTAACAGACAGCATTCGGACCAACTCCAAGGACTATGTGACTACAAGGTATTCAATGGTGAGTGCAGGTGAGCAGCTCTTGTCCTTAGGGGTCTTTGAGAGTCAGTTTGGTATCCTTTTGTCTGTGACAACATGGATGAGCAAAACTTAGGTAGTATCCAACTCTTCTCCAAACCCTGAGATCCCACTGCCCCTTGTGCTCTGAAGAAGCTTCAGCTCTGCTCAAAAACTAGAGGGTTTCCCCATGGCCAACTGTTGTGGCTGGAAGAATTACAGGCGTGCTGTGGGCACACATGAGCTCAGTCCGAGGAGGCCTTGCTGCATCACTGCTGTCAATAAACTTGCAAAGCAGGAGGCTGATTGTGAAGGGAGCATGTTATGAGTCTCACCACACCCTTCCTGCAAATCACTTCCATCTACCCTTCCCTGCCCATTTCCTCTCTCTCTCCCCTCCTCTTTCCCTCTCTCTTGAGTTCTCCTCCTCTCATTTATGTTGGTTTTCCTCTTAATCAGGTCACTTGGCCATGAACACATTTTCTTAGGCCCATTATTTTGATGCTGGTCATTCCACTCCTTGGCTTAGGGCTGTGGTTGTTATCTTCCTAAACCTCAAGGTATCAGCTCATTGGTCAAGACTTCATCAAATGAGTTTCCTACTCTTACTGTTTTATTTGGACCAGAGGCTCACAGAGGTCATCAGACTCACCTGATGGGGAAAATGAGGCTCACGGGAGGCAGGAGACTGGCCAAGGAATGGTGAGGGCAGAACTAGACATGGTTCTTAGGCCCTAGCTAAGCTCATCCCCAGGTGCCCCCATCCTCATCCTGGCACAAGGGCTCACTTGCTGCATCCAGTCTCAAATTCCTCTTCCTCACTGCCTCATCACAGCCGCTGTCTTCAACAACCTTCTCAAAGGGCATGCGTTTGACTGAAGATGCTCACATCTCACATCAGACTGCCTGGGTTCAGGTCCTGGCTCTGCTCTCAGTTTTAGCTTCCTGCTTACGAGCAACTTGGAAGGCAGCAGTGGCAGCTCAGCACTTGTGTTCCTGCCACCGAGATTGAGTTCCTGGCTCCTGGCTTAGGCCTGGTTCCTCCCTAGCAGTTGTGAGCATTTGTAGGGTAAACCAGGGGATGGGAGCTCTTTCTCTCTCTGTCTCTTTCTGCCTTTCAAAAAAATTAAAGAAAGAATTTGAAAAACCTACTCAAAATTGGCACAGAGAAGCTTAAATTACTTAATTTGTCCTAACTCCAGCTGTTCAGCTCTTCTACAGGATCCTTAAGAGAACAAATCCAGTTACCTGGATGTCATCTCTTCAGATCACAGAAAATGAAAATAAAGCAAAACCAGAAAGGAGACAATAAGATTCTCAGGACAACCAAAACAGACATTGCAAGGGCCTAATAGGAAAGTTCCCAGGATCTTAACTGAAGAAGTCATATCTGGGATGGAAACAGAAGTCCTGTCCCAAGGGGATACCTTGCTTCATAAACGGTCACTACATCAAGTCCCTTAAGCTCCCCTTTTCTTCTCTTCGCTTTTACAGCTCTCCAAAGGGAAACAAAAAAGCTCAGGCTCTTGGCTTCGGTCTCAAACAGTCCATGCTGGGCACCACGAGCCACCTGATCACTGTGAGTTACAGGGAGAGAGGCAAATAGGATCCTCACGCAGGGGTCAGAACCCAAAATATTCAGATCCGACCCCACTGGCACTCATTCACGGGCTGCGCAGCCCCCTGCAAGCCACTGAGCTTCCCTGAGCCTCTGTTTCCTCATTAGGGAACTGGAGTGGGATTTCTCCCTTGCAAGATGTTCACACGAATCGAAGCTAGATCCTTTGTGTGAAGGCGCCTAGCACGGAGCCTTCCCCCTCATCAGCACCCAGCTAACGTCGGCTGAATGTGGGTTCTCCCGTCCCAAAAGCACTCTGCCTATGCTGTTTCTCCTCTTTAGTCAGTTCACATGGCCATGATGATCACTTTCTTAGGCTTTACTATTTTGTGACATTTCATTCCCTGGATTAGGAATCTGCAGTGGTTTTTATCTTCCCCACATACAGTGGTTTTAGCCTGCCCAGGTCATCTTGTACTTACATAGACACCTGATGTTCCTGAGACTCTGCTGATGCTAAATTCTGCCTTACTCTAAAGGAACTGTTCCCAACACCCATCAGAGGAAGCACAGCTCTGCCTAGATTTTGTTCTTCAGAAGCAGTTGGCCTGGGAGTGCTCTGGGATAAGCCTGGCTGCCCTGGCCCTGGCATCTGGAACTGTACACCTCCAGGCTCTGTAGGATCTCAGGTGCTGGCTGATGGTGGGCACTTACATAAGGGCCAACCCCAATGACACAATAGGTCTCATCCGTCCTATGAGAAGGCTTTCCTCAGCAAAGGTTCTGTCTATGCTGGTAATGAACCAGCAGACCTCTGCACAGGCAGGTTCCTTGGGGGCTAGATCTGTAGCAGAAACTCAACAATGCCACAGCCCTTAGAGGTGGGCTTATCTTTTCTGAGAGAGGCAGGTCCAAAGAGATCATGGCTCCAAAGTGGGTGTTGAGAGCTCCAACTGGGCCCTGGGCAAGAAGGGAGGAATCTAAACCACTTCCACCCTCCAGCCCCTCTTCATTTTGCTGCAAACCCTGAACCTCTGGAGAGACTTGGAGCCTTTGGATTTCTGAGGCCATCTGTGGGTGTGCCTGGGCATCAAGGGGGCAGGCCAGAGAAGAACAAGGTCACAGGGCAGGAACTTGGCTACCTCTGAGAGGACCTCCAGGGGTGAAAAAATTTCATGTGGCCTGAAGCTGGTCCCCATGGGATTTTCTAACTTGAAAGACAGGAAAGCTTCTGGAAAAGACTCCTGGGGGTTAGTTGAGCAGGGCCAAATTCAAGGCTAAGCGTAGAGGTCTCCAGAATACTACTACTACATCAAAGGGTGAGAGGATCTCCTTCTCAGGAGGACCGAGGAGGAATGGGTGAGAGATTCCTGGGATGCCTCTCAGCAGGTGCAATCTAGGGAACAGAACAAAAGCAAATGAGCAGCACTTCATTTAGATCCCCTGAGTAGCTAAGAGAATGTGTAGGAGGAAGGGAGGTGAGGAATGAGGCCAACAGAGAAAATGCACTCCCCTGAAGGATCCATGTCCTTTTTCATTCCAAAGGAATCCCATCGAAGCTCCCACCCATTGGGGAGTGGGAGCAGTTTGTGCTGGAGCAGTTAGGCAGTGTCTGAATTTCTTTTAAAAACTGTCTTGGATGGCTCAGCCACCTTGTGCAAGATTTGTAAACCGTGAGAAAAACTCAGACTTGTGCAGGGTCTCAACCCGAGAAGGCAAGAAGCTGCCTCTGCGTGCAGGGCTTCCCCTGCCTAGTTTGTGCTTTGTGTAACCCCGTGATCTCTCTTCTTCCCTGCCACTCCTTTTCAAGGCCTTGAGAAGGCAATGCCAAGGCAACCCAACTGGCTTTCTGGCAGTTTAGAAATGTGCTAGAACCTGCTGTACTCCTCATTAGCTGGGAGTATGTGTCTGCTGCCTCCAATTGGCATGCGGTCTGAGGGCTGACTTCCTGAGCACTTTCCACGGCAGGCTCTCAAGGACTCCCTTGATATCCGGCTTTCAGAATGAGAGCAGATGCATCAGCCCCACTAAAGGGCAAGTTGCCTGTCAGTGGCTGGCAGAGGAGGAAAGGTATGAGCAGACAGCGGTGTGGGGGCAGGGAGGTGGGCTTTGGCACTGGGTACAGTGGAGAGACTGGGTAGAGTAGCTGGGAAGGTTGCAGTTGGCCTAAGCCAAGGCAGAAAACACTAGTTCACCCCCTGGGGACATGTTACTCCATTTAGATGACCACAAACAAGGAAAGAAAAACACTCAGGTCAAATCCTTCCCAGAGTATACCTGCCATGGTCTTTATCCTTAACCAGGATATAGGGACCACTGAAGCTGCAGGTGCACATTATTTCCCACCTCCCAGCCCCAGAGGGCACATGCTCATTGTTCCACTTAAGCCAAATTTGTTCTTGCCTTAAGTCAACACATCCCCAAAACATATACTATTAAAAAGTAGAATTGATAAGGAAAATAAGTACTTGAACCAAGAAGAGGATGAAAACAAGCTGTAAACATATAACCCAACACAAACTACACAGCAGTTCACTTACAGAACCAAACAGGGTTACATAAAATCATTTCAAATCAAAGAAAATGAAATCTTTTTTTTTCCCCATTAGCTCTTAAATTTAGGAAAAGAATCAACTGTAGCATGCTCACCTTGAACCAGGGATTGGATACTGTGGTTCTTGTATAAAGGAAAAAATCTGTGAGGGGTATGGAAAACAGTTTGGAAATCTGAGGTGAAGGAGGGAAGGAAGAGAGACTGGAAGATTGCATAGTTGTGAAACAGTGGCTTCTCATCAAGGTGAACAAGTGCATCATCTGATAAAATAGCATTTGATATATATTGTTTTCTGTTCATTTCTGGTTGAAGTATTTTGTTCTCTGTCCACCAGACATTTCGTACGTCAAAACATATATACAGCGCACACACACGTGCACACGCACACACACACACACATGCCAGCACTAAACACCTGAATTACATAGCCAGCCTTTGAAAGGACCCCTCGCCCTCATCCTGGCCAAGTTTGGATTCACCAATACACTCTCGACATCCTGACCCCTGCTTTTGGTCCAAACTCATCCCTCAGGTTCTTTTCTTCGTCAGCAACTAAAGGAGGGTTACGGGGGTCGGGAGCTGAGGGCACAAAGGAAAAGCACCAGAAATGGTTCGATTCTCGCACTGAACTTCGGTGGAAAGCAGTCACGTTTTGGTTGGGGGAGGGGTGGAGTCAGTGTTTTTTCAGAGTTGGGGAAAGAAAACTGCCCCTCTCGTTAACCTTCCTTGAGGCAGCCATCACTTGTCAGCGCCTTAGGCAGCAGACAGTTTACAGCACTGTTGAGAAACCTCGGAGTAAGGAAGAAAGGACACGAGTCACAGCCAAGTCCAGAACATGTAGAACGCGGATCTACACATTGTGCCCTTTACCCTGGCTCAGCCTCCTCCTTCGGACAACACACGGAACAGAACACACATCTGAATGGTTTCCTGCATTAGACGGGACATCTCCCATCCCATCCCCATTGCCACCTCCCTCGCACATATACAGAGTTGTGAAACAGCTGGAAAGTAAAATAAAGATGAGCATACTGTACATTTTTCCATTCTTTCTATCTGCTTCAAGCATATATATGTACATACATATATATACATACAGATATATTTATGGTAGTTTACATTAATATAGGAAATAGCAAAGGTCTTTCAATTACATTTTATACAGAATCTCTGCATCTTGCCCTTAATTTCTATTCTGTCTCTCTTGCTTTTTGGATAAACAATTGGCTATGACAATCTATAGTAAGGCTTCACAGAAAGAATTCTGCATGTTTTGTTTTTCTCTAAGAACCAAAGTATATAAAATGAGGTTTGATTCTAGCACCTTATACAGTATTAGTGATGTTGTTCCCTTGGGAGAAGTTAGCACTACCCAACACCCTAGGTGAATCCGGACCAGTTACACAATATTCACAAGTATTGCCAAAGAGAGGACATAAAACATAGCAGAGATGGAGGAACAGGAGAACAAAACCAAACCCCGAGATTAAAATCCTACCGACATACAAACACAATCTTAAAAACACATCAAGTTGCTGTCTCCAAATCAGTAGTGATACAGTGATTCAACGCCACAGACTAAAGCCTTTTAAGTCACCCTTCCTCCTGGAGGTAAGGAGATAGGATGCTTGTTTTAGGCATGAAAATTGAGTCTGGGAGTCTTACTCAGGTCACAGAGTTAGGACACCAAGTCAGACATACCTAACCCTAGCCCTCCTAGTCCCAGACTGCTCCTGGCCACCTCTGATTGGCCAGTCCAGATTTTGGAAGAGCAGCTTATTGGCCACTGACAGGGAAGCAGAACGAACCAACAAAGAATTTTGTAAAATATCAGCACCAAAGGAAGTTCGAAAGAAGCTGCTCTTCACTCCCTTATCAAACATTCTATGTTATGGAGACAGCAACTTTCACAAGAAAGAAGAAAACTTGTCATAGGAGAATAACCCATCTCATCAGCTGGTACCTTCCAAACATCCACACGCTCAAGAGAGACGCGAGTTTCGGTTGAGTAGCATATAGTTTTGTAGAGGAATGATCAACTCCCACCAAAGCTGCATCAGAACCTCAGTTATATCATTATGTAACTATAGTGATAGCTCTATACCTCTATCTATTTATATATGTATACATTAAAGTCTGTTACTGCACTGGCACACGATACCAAGGAAAAGTACTGGCATTGCTGTTTGCTGCAAGTGGCTGCCTTGAGTGGAATTACACGACAGAGAAGCACCGCAAGAAAAGGCACCACAAGGTTTCGAGAAGTTAAATTGTTTGTTGCCACTGCCCTGACTTCTCTGTGGTGGGGGGAACAAAAATCTCCCATCTCTAGCAAGAACCCTCAAGTCATGGATCCAAAAGATCTCAAGTACATCTGTCCATTCCAAGCCAAGGGAGAGAGGGAGGAAAGAGCCCGACCTTGTTCTTTTTAATGGAATTTTCTTCTTGGCTAATAGAAAAGGAAAAACCTTTCAGTTTCTCAAAAGGAAGGAGGAAACTCAGTAGCTGGAAACCAAGCTTTCTGAAAAAAAGAAAGAAAAAGGACCAAAATCTTGCACTGGGAAAAGGAAAGTCTTACCTAAAAATCTTGCTTTTCTAACATAATGACTTGGTTGCAACGCATTAGGGAAAAAACAATAAAGAAAAGAAAATGAAGACATTTACATCCATAGGCACAGTTCGCCACAGATAGCACCGGGTCTAGATGAATGAGGATGGACAGAGGTCCACGTCAGTCCACACAGCTGAGAACCACGCGTGTTGACTTGGAGTCAACTTTACTCCATCCTCATTGACAGGCCAAGGAAATGGAAACCATTGGCCATCTGGGAGCACCAAGAACTACGTGTGCTGCTGATGAACCAGAGAAGAAACAGGGCAGCTGAGGACTGCAGAGTGAATGCCAAGTAGTATTTTAACTTTTGTTAGTATACTTGCCGGCCTTGAAATATCCCTTCCTACACTTCCTGCTCCAGACAGAGAGTCTGTATTTTGCTTTAAGAAGTTCTGGGTGTGGGGTGTGGCTGGGGTGCAAAGTTCCCTCAGCCATTGCTCGTCTCTGACTCTGGGTCTGCGTTGGACCCGGGAACCTATCCAGCCATCCTGCAATCCGCAGGTTCCCAGGATTTGCTTCCTGTGCAAGCCCATGGTGACGGGTTGCTGATGAGACCAGGACCAAAGCAGCTCCCTGCGTAGGGACATCTCTTCCCAAACCTGGGCGACAGCATATCTTGAAGTTGGAGCCTGGTCACTGGGGAGTCTCTGCCCTATACTGATTTGAGTTGAACTCTCGCTTTCCTTCTGGCTCCTCTAGCTTGTTGGCAGGGGTAGGTTAGTTCAAGTTGGCTTTCAAATTCCGATACAAGTCTATACTGAAGGTGATACTCCCATTTCAGCATGAGACAAATAAATGGACCCTAACACCTGCTAACAACCTGAATTTTTTTTTTTTATCCAAGCCTACCTCTGGGGTATGGACAGCATGAAAAATCAAAAGACTTCTCCCAGAAGAGTTCTAGCACATTCCTGAGACAGAGAAAATCCCCCTGCACCCACCCCTTTCCCTGGGTCTCCTCTTAACATTATGTTCAGAAGTCTGCCCAGGGTTTTGAGAGAATGGCCTCTGCCCATTTCCTCCTTCCAGGAGTTCCTGGAACTTCCTTCTGGGCAGGAATTATATTGCTGACCTCAAGTCCCTGCCTTTTCCCTGACCAAGATCTAGCACCCACAGCAAGTGGCATCAAAATGGGAAAGTATAGTTTGAGCTGTTCACAGTGGGAGGGCTGGGGAGCCAGCCCTCCACCCTCCACCATCCTGGGGCTGCTGGCCAACGGAGGTGGTAGAAAGGGAGAGAAGTCCAAATTGGTCATCATTCTGCTAAGTGGAATTCATGGCCCCGGAGAAGGGAGACAGGGCCAGGCTGGCTCAGAGGGGGCCCCTCCAGCTGCCCCTGCCACGGCACTTGCTTCAAGCCTCTTTGCCGTCATCAAGTTCTGCCTTGCACTAGAGCACTCTGGGTTTCTGTCTGACTCATGGCAGCCAGGGTATTTTAGAATTGGAAAGTACATTTGGGTAATGAAGCAATCAGTGGGGCCAGCTCTGCGGCATAGTGGGGTAAGCCTCTGCCTATGGTGCCAGCATCCCATATTGGCACCAGTTTGTGTTCCGGCTGCTCCACTTTCAATCCAGCTCTCTTGTATGGTCCAGGAAGGCAGTAGAAGATGGCCCAAGTGCTTGGGCCTCTTAACTCAGAAGAAGTTCCTGGCTCCTGGCTTCAGATTGACTCAGCTCTGGGCATTGCAGCCATTTGGGGAGTGAACCAGTGGATGGAAGACCTTTCTCTCTGTCTCTCCCTTTCTCTGTCTGTAACTCTACCTTTTAAATAAATAAATAAAATCTGTGGAGCTTTCCATATTTAAAAAAAAAAAGAAAGAAACTGGTAACTAAACAGGTTCCATCATTTGCCCAGAGTGTTGGGGCCTGAACTCAGATTTACTGGCTTCCTACAGGAAGTCTTTTGATTGCTCCATCATGACAGATTGAGATCTCATTCTTAGCCTTCTTCCCTTCCAAATTTTCCTACTTCTTTCTCTTCTCTTGTTTTATCCTCTCTTGTTTTATGGGCAAGGACTACCTTTGCCAGGTTACACTAAATTACGTTTTAAGAATAAGGGCTTCTTCTTCCCTGCACAGGCATGCACCCAGTGTGCACCATTTATCATCCGCCACATTCATTAGGGCTCTCCTCCACCCCTGAGCCACCTCCACCCAGACCTGCTCCAGAGAGATGAGGGCCAGAAATCAGCTCCCTGAGGCTGGGACTTCGGTTAACGACAGGCAGTCATGAGGCTGATGGGGAGGCTCAGCTGCTGAGACTTTCTGTTAGCCTACAGCTAACAGTAAACTATTTTTAATTCCAGGAACCTCAAGAATAAAGGAAGACTCTGTCCGAGCTGTTGGAAGCTATATTCTGTGCACTCAGCTCTTCTCGGGATATGGGAAGAGTTCACAGAGCAGAGACACATGCAGGAGAAGGGAAGAAGAAAGAAATCCTGGCTGGACACAGGGGTGTTTCCTGAGGTGACCAAAACTACCGCCGCAAACCTCCTGCCTCATTGGGTATGGAAGAGATGGACCAGGGTGCCCACCCTTAGGCTGGAATTGCCAAGTTCTAGAATGTTCCCTTTAGATATAGCCCTGATGCTTTGCTCAGTGGGTAGGAGTACTTGGAATCTCCAAATGAAAGGTGCTTACCAGTGCTTCCTTGAAACCCACATAGAGACTCCATTTCTCAGACAGCAGTGATGGGAGTGGACAGGAGCGGTGGGGATATTTTGTTAGCCCTTTAGGGAAAATTACAAATTGCATGCACTCAAGGCGGTGCTTTACCTGAGAAATTCAACCGGTTCTGCTGGGTAAAGTGGTGACAGCGCCCTCTGTGCTCACCGGGTTAAAGCAGGACACACAAGTGGGAGTAAAGTGTCCAAGGGAAACAGAAGAAATGCAAGAAAATGGCCCTCCCCAGTCATCATCATTTTGAGAAAAGAGATTGGATCTGATCTGCTGTGTCCCATCCCGGCTGCCTCCCGGGAGCGGGCTGCGAGATCGGGAGAGCCACAGACCAGGCACGCGGGAGCCTGGGCATTTCCACAGGGCAAAATCAGAGAGGCTGGGGTCTGCGGCCTATTTCCAGGCACACAGGGCTGCAAAATGCATGCCAGGAACTCGGCCCTGCTGCAGGGCTCTGAGCAGTAAACCCAGGGACACCAAGGAACGGCAGGGACACCTCAGAACTTTCTCTTCTTTTCTTCCCTTTCTCTCTTCTTTGTTTCTTCCTTTCCTTCCTTCCTGCTGTCTCTCCCTCCCCCCTCCTTCTTTTGACTAAGTATTTTTTTCTGTAACAAATCTCTGATTTTTTTAATAGCAAAAGAAAACATCTATATAGGAAGGCAGGGCCCCTCCGGCACTGGGCTTTCACCTTGCCTTGTCCTGCTTCCAGGTCGCCTGCCTGCAACCCTGATGAGCTGCTTTTCTCTAACACCCATGGGAAAATAGCTTCCTTGAAAACACGGTCGTGTCCTGGAAAAGCCCATCAGGGGAAAGATCATGGGGCCATTACATTGAGAGAGCGAGCGGGGTCTGGCCGGGGACAAGGAGACCTAAGAAGATTCTCCTGGCCTGGCAGTTGGAATGTATTTAGACGTTAAGAGAGAAAACAGAAAGTCAGTTTGCTGCCCATGTGACTCTGGGGCTACCGTGGGACAGGTGGAAGGAGGGAAGGGAAGAGATGTGATGGGGTTCTGGCTTGGCAGCCTGCAGCGTCCAGCTGCACCCAAGCCAGCAGGTGTCAGGAGACACGACTGTGCATGAGTGACAGATGAGAGGAGGGGACTTCAAAAGCTGTTCCTGGGCATCTGGGCTTGAAAGGGTTTCCAGGCCTTGCGGCCAGACCCTGTGGCCTTCCTACACCAACACTGGGACTTTCAGGTGGCAGGTGGCAATCTTAGCAAGCACTAGCTTCGATCTGAAATCTGAGAAACCCACCCCACTGCAGCTCTCCCACTCCTCCAGCCAGGAGCCTTGGGACTGGATCCAGCTCGGGAAAGAAGGTGTGTAGGGGCGGGAAACAGTGTTGCGAGTGCCCCATCCCTGAAATCCAGCAGAACGATCTCTCCCCTTCTCTGGAAGGGGTCTTCTAGCACACCCCAATAGCCTGTCCCTTCAGGCCACGCCAATTCTGTCACCAGGACAGCAGTGGCTGCTTCACGCCAAGTGCACTGACAGACCCAGCATTTGCTGTGGCTGCTGCTGCTGCTGCTGTAGAGTTGGCTGAGCCTCTCACACAGCAAGCACTCTGATGCCTCCGGGCTATCAGACTTGCCAGGGGCACTTTGCACTTAGGCAGGGGAGGCCCTTTCCCCAAGCCCTCATGTGGCTTCACCGGGCCAGCCCCAGCCTCACCTGCAGATACTGACTATGCAGGGTAGCCACATGGCGCACATTTGTTCGCCACCAGCCAGAAACCCTGGCAGCCAAAGAGCACGTGATGTTGTCTGGCTCAGAAGAGCGGCGATCAAGCTCCTTGTTCCCCAGAATACCTCTTTCTCTTTCCCTACTCTGGTGACTGCTATACCAGTGGCTCAGGTCTGCTCGCCGCAGAAAACAGGGAGGTGTTTAGAAAACTGCTTTCCGGAGTTTTGTGAACTGCTGAGAATCCTGGTAGCAACTGGAGAGTGTCTTCCATCCTGCACAAGCCTGCTATGGGCTCTCTTCTCTGCCAGAGGAAACGAAGGCATATCCCCGCCCGGGGTGTCTTCCTGGCATTGAGCCTGGGAGAAAAGTCTACCTAGGCTGGGTCTATTGCAAGTCCGGCGAGAGCCCTACACATTGGGGTACTCTGTCTCATCTTTTTAAGCCCTTTAAGGTGCATATGAGTGTGGGGGTGGGGTGAGGTGAGTGTATGTGTGTATGCCCAAGATTGGTTTATTTATGTAGTCGCTGTGATCCGTAAACTTAGAATACTGTCTTATGGCCATGCACTCCTCAGTTCTACACAATCCAGAATAATGTCATAAACTTAGATTACCTCCCAGCTTATATGGTTTTCTATGTTCTCTCTCTCTCTCTCTCCATCTTGTGTGTTCATTTCTTTATAAGATACTTTTTTAAAAAATGGAAGTAAGCCATCAATAGCAAGCAGGTGCCATAAGGTTAGTGGGCAGCAGTGAGGCTGGAGGGGATGTGCTAATGCCCCGGACACCCCAGGAGCTGTCCAACTTTCCATTTTCATTGGGCGGCCCATTGTCGCCTTCAGAGTTATCAGAGAGTGTCCCAGCTATTTAAGTGACACCATCTGTACCTCTCTCCTGCCCTCTCCCACCTCCAGAAAATCTCCACCATGACTCAGGGTCATGCCTTTTAAAGGCACACGGATTTCAATGAAAGAAGGAACAATGCCTGCCCTTGACTTGAGGTGGCCTGGACCAATGGCAACGCTGGAGGCCATGGCTCCAGGGGCTGGCATGACCATCCCTGTGCAGCCGGTGATGTATTTGGTGGAAGCATGCAGCAATAGTGATGTCAAGGCAAGCAGAAAGGCTGTGAGGGTTGCATTTGGATGAATAGCCCTGACCTGAAGCAATGTGCATATAAGGACTGGTCGCATAGAAGAAAGGCCTTGTGGAATCCACACATCAACACCAGGGTCGGGAGCTGCTCATGAGCATGGGCAGGAAAAGGGCAGAGAACTGGCCAAGATGCTTGGAACAATCTGGGGCAAGGCAGCAGCACCAAAACTGAAACCACCCCTTCCTCGGGCCCTGGTTTGAAAGGAACAGGACACAAAGCCTCAGTCCTGCCTTGGTGCCTAAGGCAGCTCACCCCGTGCCTCTCTGGCCTGGCCTTCAAGACAAGGGGACCAGGACAGCCACTGAGCCCCACGTCTCTTCGTGCAACCAAAGGGTCATTTTTTCAATTCAAAGTAAGCTTCCCTTTCTCTCTGTCCCGTCTTCCCTCTGAAAGGAAAAGAGAGTGATTCACTTCTTCCCTTGAAGGCTCACATCATATAATGATTTTCAAAATAGCAAGCGGTTTCACTCTGGTTCTGAAACACAGAGGCGGCCCTGGCAGCACCCTAGGGTGCTCTTTCTGCAGCAACACTTCTGAGGACTCGGGCACACAAGCTGTGTAATACTGCGAGAGTCTCGAGCAGCATTTCTGGGAAGCTTCAAGAAGGGACTGGACTCCCATCTGCTCAGCGTGGTAGGTGGCTTTGGCTCTTTGTAGAATCTAGCCAACTCATGGCGTAACCCTCTACAAATAATTTGAGAGGTGTTATATTTTTTAATGTTTTGGGATCCAGCCTCGGCTCATTGAACGTGTTTGGGAAGAGAAGAACTTTCTGTACATCGAAAAGCCAATGAGGATTTTAAGAAGGCTTTGTTTTATGTGAGGAGGCTAAGATGCTGAAAACTCATCCATCCTCTTGGCCATCTCCACCCTCTCAAAAGATTTGCCTTTTAGTGAAGACCCTTGTCTTTGGAAGCCAAGCCTTTCCAGCAAACAACAGCGTACCAGACTCTCCAAGGAAACAGACGACCCACAAAGTAGCCAGCTGTTCCAGGACAGCACAGGCAGATCACTCTCTGGGGCTGAAGAGAGAAGATGAAGGCTGTGACCACACCGGAGCTGAGCCCAGGAGTAACTGAAACAGCAACTGGGCACAGGACACTCTCCCTGATGTCTGCCTTCATTTTCCCGCAATGAGGGTAGAGCAACTGGTATCTGTTTGCTTCTCAGAACAGGCTCCTCTGACGGAAGCCAAAGGACTGAAAATCCTTCCTCCTTGCCCAAACTCTTGGGAAAGAAAGAGTAGTTAGTAGCCATCCGGGGCAGAAAGACAGCCATCATTTTTTTTTTTTTAATCTACATGGACACAACTCTTATTCTGTCATTCTCTTATAATCTTTTTAAAGTATTCATTAATCAGAACAGAGTGGAGGAACTAGATTGTGTTCCCACCCTCCACTGCCCCCCGCATGGTTCATTACACACCACAGGTGCTCAGTGTTCCAAAGGATTTGAAATAGGAAGCAAACTTGATAACCAGTATACTTGTATCCTCGAAGTGCCTGGCCAGACATGAATTGCTTTATCCTCACAACACCCCTGTGAGGTAGGTGAGCAATACTCTTCCCTTTCGACAGGAGTAATTGGCCCCACGAGTGACTTCACTTGGGTCTGCAGAGGGATAGAGTCCTGGCCTTTTTACTCCGGACGGCATGGTCTGTACACAAGAACACGCCTCTTCGTTCTTTAGATGCACTCTCTGACCCTTTTGTAAGGAAAGAAAAATAACACTTATAGATGTCACTCAGTAGAAGCAACTGCCTCCACGTGAAAAGAATACGTTTTGCTAGTTCTGCCCTAGGAAGAGTAGCAAGTGATGACGAGATGGTTGCTGGCGTTTGCCTTCCACACACGTCCGGAAGCCCCCCTCTTCCTCCCACTACTGAGTCACATGGTCCCCTGTGGCAGCACGTGGCGGTCTTCAAAGTTCTCACACACAAAGGTCGCACAGTCCATTCGCCAGGCAAAAAGGGGTGCTGATGAGCGCAGAGTGTCAAGTCTGAGGTCTCCTGTATGCCTTCCTTTTGGTTACCATCAGAAATACCTTGTGGAAACAAATCCCGGCAGGATTTGGCCTTAGCCACAGACCAATCAGATATACAGTCAAACAGAAGTCATTCACTGAATTCCAAAGTGGGAACTGGTCCCTTGTGCTGTCACAGCAACAATGAGAACCTTGGAGAGCAGAGTCAGGGCAGGTGGGAAAGGGGTTGTGGTCAGGGCTCCACAGTCAAGGGCAGGAGAATTTGCCAGAAGCTACTGAGACCTGCCCTATGTGGGCGCTGTTCTTTTGGGCACTCTCAGCAGGTGCCTGCCTTTTCTTTCTTTTCTTTGGATGAGAATTTCTATATCAGATTACACCTGAACTCCAGGAAAGGGCCAGAGCCAGGTTGACTGATCCACAATGGTTGAAGCTTCTAGAATTTTCCTTTCCAGGAAGGTTCTCAGAGCCAATAGGAAGTCAGTGTCACGGTTGGCACTGCTGAATGCTAATGTCCAGTGTGGCTCCCACCTGCCCTCACTCTGGGTTAGGTCCTGGGAAGAACACAGAAGTTCTTAGGAGGGGTCTGTTTTCTTGCTCAGAGTGTTCCTTGGAAATGTTAACAGTCAAACCATAGTAAAAAGGAAAAAAAAAAAAGGAAAGAAAAAGAAATTCAGAATAACTTTTCCAATTTTAATTATGGGGGGATACCCTGACTTAGAACACACACAGATAGTGATGTGTTCCCCATCCCTGTCTGTCTCTAAACCTGCCTGCAGGCCCCACTCACAGCACATCAGGGTGATGGAGACCCACCGAGGGACCCACACGTGTGGCTCCTAGGATGCCTGTTTTCAAAACAAAGCTTTGTTTTCTGTACTCTGCAGAGAGGGAAAGAGAAAGTGAGTCTGTTTGACGAGGGAGTCTCAAGGCGGCAAGAGATGCAAGGAAGAACAAAGGCATGAGAGAGATTTCTCCATGAGCTTTCTACCACCTTAAAAAGCAATTTCCAGCTCCTCCCCACTCACTCCTCTTGTGGGCCCAGAGCTCAATAAAGACTGGGTTTCGGATTGGTCCTTTCACATACACTCTCATCCATTAGGAAGAATTAACAGTGGGAAATTTGGTTGAAGAACTCCGTGGCAGCTTGAGCCAGCTGATGGGATCACCTGACTGGGGTACCACTGTACTGGGTTCACAGTGCTGTGAAATAGAGAGGAACGAAAGGGACCTGTGACTCTTCCCTGTCCAGCTGTCCTTCCTGCTCATGCTGGGGCTTCCGGGTGCCACCACACCTGGAAAACACCCTCCCCTTCCTGCGTTTCCATTTCCCGAGGAATGAGGACACCATTCTTCCTTCACACAACACCTTTGCTCCAGGCAACGTGGACTGAATCCTCACAGCATCCCTGAGCAGGAGAGAAAGAAGAGGTCGGCCTTCTTTGTCTCCACTTTGCAGATGGAGAAACCAAGGCACCGAGAGGTGAAGTGAGTTATCCGTGATCACAGTGGGGCCCCTGAATCAGCCTGCGTCACTTCCGCGTCTTTTTGGGTCTAAAGAAGAGCACCTAGCAGATGTGCGGCTAGAACAGATCTCCCAAGCCCACTCTGGCCGGAGGACCCCATGGGTGGCAAAAAAGACCAAAAGTTCGCTTGATGGATGACTGCTTGTTTGCATCCACATGACAGATGGCCAATGTTTGCCTACAGAGGGATGCTCACTGGGCTAGCAACTGGCACTGTCCCAAAGGGAGATGACTTCTTTGTCTTCCTTGGTTTTAGGATGATCTGTTGGGAGTAGACCTCCCTATGGGCAAGGGCAGAGAAGAGCTGACTGACTTCAGTTTCTTCTGGCATGGGATCTGGGGATTGGCAAGGACAGCATCTCCTACAGGGCCTACACCTTATTCTGCATGAGCTGGGGCAGCCTGGAGCAGGTGGCCCCAGGTCCCGCCTGCTTATGTCCGCTGTGGTCTATTCTTAGCCCTTGACACAAGGTGTTGGCCCAGAGCAGGGGGACTGCCTGCTGCACTCCGTCTGCTGCCCTCGGGGGCTGTCGTTAATAGCGCGCGTGACCTTTGGCTCCAGAAGGTACCAGCCATGTCCTGCCAGCCACTGCAAGGAAAGGCACAGGAAGCGAGAAGAAGCAGATGGTGCCTGGGAGAATTGAGTAAGGCAGACAGAACCAGGCAGGCAGAGGAGACAGCTACAGCCGGATCAAGGCAGTGTCTTTTGATATTTGGCCAATAGCACAAGATGCAGCGTTTTAAGCAAGAAATGAGACCTGTGAAACAGCTAGGGATGAGGGTGAAAGAGGCTTGTCTTGCCAGTGCAAGAATTGCGAGTAAGCATCATCTTTTTCCCCCGTAAGGGGCTTGGGAAGAAATCTCTGAGAGAGCAGAGTTGCCTCTTGGTGTTTTTCAGCGTTTTGCAGTTGACAGAGGCACACATTGAACTGGGGTGCCCGGGGCAATCTTCTTACAAGCCCTGCATTTGTCACTTGCTGGCAGCTAGTACTGCTCCTCCCATCTTCCAGAGGTGGACTCGTGCATGGAAATGGAGAGTTGCTTCTACAATAGGGACAGAGTTTGGGATGAGGAGAAAGGAGTACAGACCTGAACCTGAGAGAAGCTTCTGTTGCGTTCCATCTCGCTCACACCTTGACCTTAATGAGAGCAGCCGACCTTGACTTAAGGACTTAAGGACCTTGAGGATGCCTGTGTGCTGCTTTACGAGCAGGGCTGCCCTACACGGTCAAGTACTCAGAGCGCATGTTTCAGAACTACACGAAGGGAACAGCTCCCCTGCATTCCCGCATGGTCTTTTCCAGGTCTCCCTGGCAGTTTTTTAGCCCATACTGGGAATGTGACCTGGATCTGGACGAGATTAATTGCAGTGAGCTCTCTTCCCTTCACACTCTCCGAAGTTAACTTCCATTCCTCCTCCAACCAAATCTGGTGCTGTTCTTTTAACATTTCTGTTTGGCAAAGAGATAAAAGATTTAACCTCTGATAAGAAAATCAAATAAGTATATCCAAGGGCTGCACACCCAGAGCTGCTATTAGCACACACACAAGGTCTGAAAGGGCTCTCTTTGAATAAGAAACCACTTTCCTTGGTGAAGAAAATGGCACTGTCTAGCCAAATGAATGGCAGGTGACACTTCCATCCAGCCCATGGAAGAGCCAGGGGCATGAGGGCTGGGAGCCAGGAGATACACCCTGGCTTCATGTTCTCTGAGAGCATGATGTCCTTTTGTACCCCAGAGGCTGAGCCTGCATGGTTGGTGCCTAGGCAAGGGACGGAGGAGATCCCTGGAAGCATCAAGGCTTAGGGCGTGAGCAAGGAGTAGAACAGACAGGGAAGGACACTGTGTGGTCTCTAGCAGGCCTACAGAAACCACAGGAAGTCTGGATGGAGATCAAGGAAGGCTGAGTCCATTCAGAGCTGCTTGCAATACGACAGCACCAGGAACCTCTTCTTCTGCACCAGGACCAGGCAGTTGGAGGGAGAATGGAGAAAAACAATGTAATTTGCAAAGTAGATTTGCCTTTCTGGGAGTCAGGCTTGTTTGGGGACAGGGTCCAGTGTTTGTGGCCTAAGTTGCTATGTGGCCAGTAGAATCACCCTCGTGACCACAAGCCAGACAGGCTCTGCTCTCTTTTAGCCACCATGGAACTCCAAGGGCCATGGCAGTAGAGGTGTTGGGTTAGGGTCACAGGGACCACCAAGTCTTGGGTGACTCTGTGCCTGGAGCAGTGGGGTATGGGGCATCCCAGGCCATAGAGAAATGTTTGCTGCTTTTACTGAGGCAGCACATGCAGCCCTGGGTGATGGGGCCTGTTGCATCCTGGTCCCCTGTCTGCTTGGAGTGAATGTGTTCTCCACGGCATCCTTGATACCCAACTTGGGACAAATCTGACCATGCAGAGCAAGGCGATATCCTCCTGGGACAGAGCGGAGGAGTGGATTTGAGATGTGAGTCACTTTGGGGTGAGGGGAATCGGTGGTGCCTGGTCATTTGGATTCAGAGCCTGCAGACACACGAGGCCTCCAGCTTCCAAGGGTGTCACAGGATGGTGACATGAGCTCAGGACACATCACCTGGAGTTACCCAAGCAGGGTAGGGCTTCCCTCTGGGCAGAGAGAAAGGCCACAGCTCCCTGACCCGTGCGGCCAGTGCTCGCAAGAACAGGCAACACAATCAGCCACATTGTTCGGGCAACACTACCATGTGTTTGAGAATGGAAAGAAAAGCTGAGTGTCCTGCTTAGCTAGAGGGATGAAATATGGACATTCGTGGGGTACTTGATGGGGGAGCAATAAGGAAAGAAAGCGGGGTAGTATACTGTGTTCTATAGCTCCTGGCACCAACAGGCTTATCTTTTACCATAGCTAAATATTGAGAATTGATTATTTTAACAGGAGATCTTAGCAGAGAAATGGGTCCAGAGAGATCTCTTTAAAAAGCATCACAGGCTGTCCACTGGTAGGCAGCTGGAGCAGAATGGGCTAGGGCCTCGTTGTTGGCCCACAAAAGGCAGGGTGGCCAAAGGCCCAGGCAAATGACAAAGGGGCCACCACATCGCGCTGGTGCAGAGGGACCCTTCCACAGGGTGGCCTTAAGGATCTAGGTTTTCAGGACCGATGCCATCGGTGGGGAGACAGAGCGGGGCATGTGTATCTGCTTTCCTACACTGACACCCTACAGCCCTCTGAATGGGGTACACCCTGGCAAGGGAGGGATGGAGAGAAAACCCCAGGGGAGTGGCCTGGGACTGCTGATGTGACAGGTGGGGAGCTGCCAGAGGCTGACAGCACCAGGGTCTGGTCCCGGCCTTTATGTTTCCCAGGCTTTCTCCCTGCCTGGTCACTTTTCCCCGCCTCTTCCTGTCTCTCAGCAAAACTGGCTCTTCCTGCTGCTGCTCACAGATGCACATTTTCACCTGCACCATTAGTACAGAAAGGAAGGGTTCAGGTGGGGGCATGCGGATGCCACTTCAAAGAACAAGTGTGCTCTCTGGAACACAGTCCAACAAGGGTTGAAAGAAAGATTGCTGGAATGTGCTAGGTCCTTCTCCTTTGTTCCCAGGGGCCAATGCCCCTGAGGGCCTTCCCAGAGCTGGAAGCTGGCATCCCAACTTGCAGTGCTCCAGGTCAACTTCTGCAGTCTACTAAGTTCCATGTGAACATGAACACACATGTGCACATGCACAGACACACACACAGCAGATGCGAGTAGTGAAACAGAGGCTGCAAATCGGGACTGGTGACTGTGCTGAAGTGGAGAAGAAAGAAAGAGGAAACCCCTCCAAGAAGAGACGCAGAGCGCAAGAGCCAGATGCTCCGAGGGGGAAGCGTGGGGAGGACGCCGAGAAAGCTGCTCTCGTGATGGATGCTGGCAGAGCCCCAGACTGGCTACAGACAAGAGCTGGGTACCCCAGCCAGCCCCAGGGGACGGCCCCCTCAAACGACCTCACCTTCTCCAGCCTCGGCAGAGTGCACGGGTGCTCCGGAGAGCAGAATGGAAAGGAGACACACTGAAGGAAGCACCCATGATGGGATTCCAACTCCCAAATAGCTCGCAAGTGGTGCACGGGCCTGAGTGTGCCCTGTTCTGTCCTGCCTTCCAGATTGGGGAGGGGTGGGGTGGTGGGCTCCTCCTCTTCCTCCTTCCTGCAGGAGGACCCCAGGGAGCACCTGAGTCAGGGAAGGGAGGGGACACACTGCAGTTACATGACCGTGATCGTGCACGGAATCAAGGCGATCTGAACACGGGAAGGAGCATCTGATTTTACAACTGATTGGAATAAAGATTCAGATAAGCAATGAATGCAGTGGGAAGGAGAAACCTCTTTGAATAATATTTTTTTAAAAAAATCCCACAAATGCACGAAAAAAATTCCTCAATTTTTGAACACTTCTCTCAAGAATAGTTCAAGGTGAGGTTTTGCACCCTAAATAGTTATATCTGGAATTTAAGAGAAAAAAAAAACCGCAGCTACACACAACAGAGACTAACAGTATTTACTTAAAAATATCGTGTGTGTGTGTATATATATATTTACTTTATATATATATATATATCTTTTTTTGTGGCAATTTTTTTCTTTTCCTTTTTTTTTTTTTTTGTGTGTGTGTGTGCCCAAGTAGAGATACAATGGGTTGAAACGACGCCCTAGAACAGGAATCTCCTTTAAAGGAGCAGTACTTTTGAAAAACAAAAATTTTAAAAATGTTTGAAGAGACTTGCAACACCTCCAGAAATTCAACTTGGTACAATGAGAAAATAAACAGTTGAATGAAACCCTCACCTAGACAACACAGACTCTAAGACCCACAGTGGGCTGCTGGTGTGTGTTGCTCTCCCAACAGGGGCTCTGTGCAGGCACCAGCCCATTCCCCTAGCCCCAGTCCCCAGCCCCCAGCCCCGCACACGGCACCGCATAACCAGTGTTTGTCTTAGATCGGTTTTGTATATTTCTGGCAAGACCTTGCAGCAGGAACATACACACACACACACACACACACAAACACACATACATGTGTGCTATGGGCACACACACATACATACATACACAAGCACACACAAACTCCACACGCACAATTTCCCATTCAACCCAGATGCACCAAGTGAGCTGAAGGATTTTCAGCCAACCACAATGGTGAAAGACAGAAGCACCAAACAGTCTTTGAAATGGGTCAGTTATTACAATTTGACTTTTTTATATATCTATGTATATATTCTAGTTTTCCTCTTTGTGTTGTTGTTGTTGTTGTTGTTTTAAAAAGCACAAATGAAAAATGAAGAATTCTTTCCAGATCAATTTAAGGCATCCCACCAAACGGAGACAGCAGAGGCCTTAAACAATATTACACGTGACAAGTGTATCCCGTTCACAGCCTTAAAATGATGGAACAGGTCATTGTTGCCAGTCACTGATTAAGAATTGTGCCTTTAAATTGATGTCATTCTTTTTGCTACTATGCTGAGTTTTATTATTACTGATTCTTTTTGAAAAGAATTATGGAGATCTCCTTTGATTGGCTTTAGAATTTCCTGTCCTTGCCAAATTTTGGGGGTAGCTTTTGGTTTGGTTCTGTTTTGCTTTTTCACTGGGAAGCAAATGTGATTCTCGCTAAGTGAACGCTAAGATGGCACATAGTCAGCCTTCAAGCAGCTTTTCCAGCCATTTGAGTTGCAAACAGCCCTTGAGCTCCTAGAAGGCTCTGTATAGAGAAAGGGACAGAGGAGAGAAAGGGAGAGGGGGAGGGTTTTTTTTTTTTTTATGCCTTTGCTTTGGGTAAATTTGTTTTCAATACAAATAATCAGATAGGAAGAATGAGTGCTTTGTGTTGTATTTGTTGGTTGTTATTCCTCTCGGTTCTAGATTTATTTCATTTGATTGTTTAATTTCCCCTCTCCTGGTGCGAAAGTCACCAGGGAGTTTTGCATGAGAAAAAACGTGACAGTACTTAATGAAACTCAGCACCTAAGGGCATAAGGCAGTTGAAGGTTGTTTGTTTGTTTGTGTTTGTTTTGTTTTGTTTTGATTTGTTCTTTCAATCAGCACCAATCCCGTAAATGATCTACACTTGGTGTAAGGTATAAAACTGTGGTTTTCTCTTGGAGTGGAGACACCTCCTCCTTCTCCACCCTATGAGCCAGAGTGTGGGATTTTTCAATACTGTTTCTTATGTGTAAAAAACAAAAGAAAGGTTTTCTGTTTGTTTTTACTTACAAAACATAGAGAGTATCTTTGTATACATACAGCAACTGGAAAGAAAGCTTATCTGAAGGGGTTGTGACTTATTAATTGTTTTGTTTTGTTTTGTTTTGTTTGTAGTGGTGGTGTTGGTGGTGGTGGTGGCGGTGTTGGTGGTGGTGGTGGTTCTGTGTACTGGGGGAAGGGAGGGTTATATTTCTTGCAAGCGGTGTTGACCGCAAACCAAACTTAAGGTCCCCTTCTCAACTTGGGCCAAGATGCTCTTAGAGTGAAGACTCATACTGTAGCAACTCATAGAGGAGCGGTCCGTCTCGATATCGAATGCCTACTGCGGTGGGAGTGACATACTGCAGGATGTTAATAGTCCTTCTCAGCCTCCTGTCTACAAAGTGAGCATCCCAAGCTGGGTATCTCTTTCTTGGCATGTCTATCTTAATGAGGGGCCCTTCTGGATGGTAAGGACGCCCCGACGGGGTTAAGGGCCCCATGGGTCTCACTTGGAAAACGGGCAAGCAAGTGTCAGCCGTGAGATCCTCCTGTTGTTCCGTGACGGCTCTGGTGGGCGTGACCTGGGTCCCCCGGTACCCAGGGGTCTGAGGTGCCATGGGCTCAACATCGGGGGGCAAAGGGATGCCCCAGAGCAGCTCGGCACAACAGGAGCTGGCAAAGATCTTAGCTCGCGGCCCCATGGGATGCAGCACACCGTAATATAAGAGCATCAGTGCAATCCCAGCCACAAAGCTAATGAAGACACAACACAGTGCTGGCACCGCATAGGAGTCAGTGGTCTCCGGGTTTCTGTAAAAATACCAAAGGAACGTCAAGGCAGCATTCTCGGTCAAGACTATCGTATAATACGCAAACATTCGATATCGAGTCCGCCCTTCCTTGACGTTAAACCAGCAGAAAATGTACACAATCCCTACCACCATGTTGAAGAGGATCTCCTCCCACTTGGACATGCAGAAGTCTGTTCCGCCATGGATAATCCAGAAAGCCATGGCACACCAGTGCACCACCACGAAGATCCCGAAGTAGAGCTGGAAGATGGAAGCAAAGAGGGCAAAAGAGATAACTCGGGATGAGATGGTGAAGAGGCGCCAGAAGAGGTGGATGAGGGCCCCTCTGTAGCTCATGCTCTTCTTGTCGTCCCTGGAGTCCCGCAGCAGCTTGTGATAGGAGGCTAGCACCCAAGCCAGGGACATCAGGGAAGTCACAGAGGAGACACCTGCCGGAGAGACACAAACCCACACAGTCAGAGCTGCAGACGTCGACGGCCGAGGAGATGCCCACGCACGCCACTGGCTGAAGGAGGAGGGAGGAAGAAACACAAGACCAGGAACTGCACTTGCAGTCCCGGCTGCTCCCTGCGCTCACAGCTTGGGATGTCTAGTCTCGGCTTCCACCACCCTCTGTGGAAGTCCAGCAGCTCCACAGCTCCAGGGAGGGGCTGAGGGCGGTGTGCTTGGCCCAGGGTTTTGGAGAGCTGGAGATGTCTGCTGCTGGGGCAGGCCCGAGCATGCCCCGTTTTAAGGAATCATGAGCTCACGTGCATCCTTGTTTGCATGCGGCTGTGTGACCAGCATGGGAGCTTTGGTCAGCAGCAGCCTGTATTCCTGGAGGAGCCCCCCAAGAAGGCTGACTGCGGAGACCAACGCCTTAGTCATCGGCCAAATTCCACAACTGCTCCTCTGAGAAGGTACTGAAGCCACTTGGCCCTTTCCTCATCTCATCAAGGCCCCAAGGAGCCCCTTGCTGAGCCTTCTGCCTCCTGGCTCCTTCCCGACCTAAAGCCACCCTCTTCAAGGACTCCGGCACCCCTTTCCTGCTCAGCCGGTCACCTCTGCCATTCATTCTGGTTCCTCTTGGCCTCTCCACAATCCCTGTGGCTTTCCCCAACCAACCACTGCTCCACGTTCTCTTGGGCCTTGCCCCGTGGGTTTCCCTGATTTCTCAGGCTTTGCGCGTGCCTCTTCCCTTGCTGGTCTGGCAGCATCTCCAAGGCATCTGCCACTTCCTGCTCTGCACTGGGCAAGGGTCGAAAGAGTCTGGGTGTGTCGGATCCCAAGAGACACTTGAATCACCACAGAACCATTTTATTTCTGACTCTGCCTACCGGGTATTTGTAACTACGCCAGATGAAACACCATCAACAGTTAGTGGACTCTGTCCTAATCCATCCAGGAACAAGCAGTTGTTAGTCGAGCCTCATCATAAAGGGTCTCTCAAGTAAGATTCGCCCATCACCCCTTCACTCCTCAAGTGTTTTTTCCATTCAGTCCGTCTAGCACCTCTTTTCTTGGTCTTTTTCCCTAACATGTCAGATAAAGGCAACTGGGACACAAACGCCATCCCATTGGCAACTATCTCCTTACCAAATCCCCTTCCCTCCCCCGGAGCACAACTCTCCTACCACATTCTTCCAGGCTCATCAAAGTTACCCAGTTGTGCTATTGCCTAAGTTCAGGGGTCAGATCCATTGAACCAAGAGATTAATTAAACTTGCCCAGGCCTCCAGCCTCGCGTGTGTCTTTCCCTGGCTTCCTGCCTATCTCCCTGCAATGATCCAAAGCTCCGCAAAGCCTCAAAGTCCTGCCACTTGATTCTCTTCCAGCATGCACGCTCCCTCGCCTGCCTCACAAAGCGACCCCTCCATCCCCATATCTCAAGTTGAAGCTCAGGGTCTCAACTCAGAGAATCGTATGATGAGATAACACCCCACCACCACCACCACCAACAATACAAAGTGTAGAAAACATCTGGAGAGTGAACCATGACCAGGAGTGTGTGTTGCTTTTGTCAGTGTAACAACAGAGATTCAACACAAACAGGGGAAGTGAGACTTGATCCCAGTGTCTCCGTGGAAACCCACCGGCACAACACCTGATGAGCGTGGACGGCGACTGGCCTCTCACTTGTCTGCAAAGTCCTGAACCTGATACTTCAGCATCCTGCCTTGCTTGTGGTTCACATATCTCATCTGAGGCTGCATGGCCACACACGTTAATCAGCTAACCTCTTAGAGCCCCACTGTGTTCCCCGGGTTGAGACAGGAAGGGGTTGGTCCTCTTAGGAGTAATACAACATAAACTGTGGGTCTCTAGAGGTCAGGGGATGTGCAGTGGTATCTTGACAGTCTCATATTTTTTTTTTTATTCCCAGAAGGTGCGTTTTAAGTATCCTTGTGATCACCACTATTTAGCTAAATTTCTTTTTTCTTCAAATTTTTTTAATTTATTTTATTTTACTTTAAAGTAGAGAGACAAACAGAGAGATCTTCCATCTGCTGAATGCCCACAGCAGCCAGGACTGGGTCAAGCCAGGAGCAAGGAACTCAGTCCCGGCTTCCCACACGGATGGCAGAGACCCAACCGCTTGAGCTCTCACCTGCTGCCTCTGCCTGTGCACCGGAAGCTGGAACAGGAAGCAGGATGCCCAGGTGGTGTCTTAACCACTGTGCCAAACACCCGCCCCTGAACTCTCTGATGTGTCAGTACTGCACTTGGAGGATGCTTCCAATCGTTAGTAAGCAGAGGGGAGTTCTGTGGGCACGGAATGGGAAGAAGCCTTGATGGCTGAGTTCCTTTCTAATAAAGCAGATATCTATTCCTCTCCTTATTCCTTTCCACTTAGATAAAAATGAGTGTTGAACTCATAAGCCAAGAGAAGTCAGTTCAGCTTTGGCTGGATTTGGTCTAAGTCTGAAGATGCTTCTGAGCAGACTTCAGGTGCAGGAGTGGCACAGTCCTCAGCCCTCGCTGTCCTGATCTCCCTGTTCTTGGATTGTGACGTCAGCCTTGTCGTGTCAAATACATAGAGATGGGGAGGGAGCTGAATGTGCATCGGTTACAAGTTACAAAGCCCAGTACAACCCTTCTTCGTCTGTCCATCTCCCAGGTTACCTATGCCGTTTCCAGACCTGTGGTTTTGAAATGGATATGCATGAAATCACTCTCAGCTGATCTGACACTACCTCAGTCCATGGCTGGGGTTCCTGTAATTTCTCTCTAGGGCATGGCTCAAATACTCTTCAAGTGCTATAAAACATCACTGCTAAATTACAAAGGGGACTTGGGAAATGGTCATATGGAAGACTATGATGCTGACCCCTCAGTCGGTGCTGACCAGCTGACGGCCAGCCCCAATTCTGTGTCTCTTCCTTAGCTACTCCTGACTTGGCAAAGCTATGAATCACCACATATTGTATCCAGGGGAGCTTCGCAGACCATGTACTCCAACCTACTCATTCCACAGGAAGCAGAGGTACAGTAGTTTGGGAGGCTGGCCCACGATTACTCCACGAATCACTGACCATTTAAACTAGCGCTCCAGGGTAGCAGACCTCCTGATACACTGTGCTGCCCCTGGTTTATGATCCTTCCAAAACTTCCTGCACTGCCAGCTCAGCTTTCTGGAAGCCCCGGGAGTCATTTGTAATGAAGGCCCCTGGCGCTCTCCAGTGACAGTCTGTTCCAGCATCCAGTTACTGGTACCTCAAGGCCTTAAGCACTAGGCCATGTCCTTAGCATTATGGAAATGTTCCAAGTTATTACAGAAAAAAGGAAAAGGGGGTCTTATGTCAGCTGGCCTGTGTGCCAGGCTGGTGGGCAGAGGCCATGGGCAAGAACAAAAAAAGCATGAGCGTCCCCGACCCCTCACTGCCAGTGAGTATGAACAGCAATGACCCAGTGGTGGGGGGATTGCTGGGAGTGGTCAGAACCCTTGACCCAACCACTTTCTAGTTCAGCACTCACCAAAGAACTACCCATTGTATCCCAGGCTCTGGGTACAGATTTTTGATCCAAAGTTATACTGCTAGAGGGCTGAGTTCACCCCAGCGAAGAAACCAGAAAACCAGGCCCATTCGTGGATCCTACCTGGGAGCTGGGCTTCTCCCTGGACACTCAACTGAGAATGATCCTTGCCTTCTAGGGCTCAAGAACCAATGGTGCGGGCATCAGACTTGTGTACATCCTATCACCAAGGAACTTGTCTGGACCCATCTGTGCCACTGGCCATAGTGCTATGTCTGGTAATTAGACCAAATGTCTGTGACTTGGCCACTTTTGCAAATTCTCCCTGGACACAGCCTGTGGCCTGACAAACCCACAGGACTGTAATCGTAACTCCTCCAAAGGCCCTCAGGGGAGGGTCCCTAGGGGCGGCCTGCTGATTCTGGGGACTCAGCTGGAGCACGGGATGAGGGGCTGGGGCAGAGGATGCACTCCTTGCCCTAAGCACTCTCGTCAGTGCCCTCGGCTGGCACAGGGAACACACGCATGGGTTACTGAGCATTCATACACATTGTCTTGGTTAGAAATAGGCACTTGCTACGGCCTGAAATGCTTCCTCCTCGCAAAACTCCTGTGTTGAAGCCCTAGCCTGCTGTACCTCCGAGTGAGACCGGATTTAGAGATATGTTCCTTAAAGAGGTCCCTAAGTCCCAATGAACTCAGTAGGGTGGGTCCTAATCCCAGATGGCTGGTGTCCTTCTGAGGACAAGAGGATGCAGACACCAACTGAGGGAGGCTGCGTGAGGACACTGGGAGAAGACAGCATCCTCAAGACAACGAGGGAGGCCGCAGGAGACACTAACCCTGTGGTGGCAGCACAGGGCTCTATTCAACCCCATAGTTTAGGTAAAGAAGTTAAAGAGAATTTCCCCTAAAGTGATATCTGCCAAGAGGCAGAAGCAGGATTCGAACTCAGAGCGTGACTCTGTCGGCCTCAAGGGTAAGCACCGAATTAACGGTGCCCTCGCTGCTGGCCCCACTGAGGGAGAGAACAAGAAAGGTACAGCGAGCGGACAGGAAGTGTGGTCGCCGCAGGAAAGCCAGAGGTCCTTGACCATTGAGCAAAAACCAAATCTGAGTTTGACTGGGCCTGCGTCAGGCGAGCAACAAGCCACCCAGAGAGAAGTGATTCCAACAGAGCTGGCTGCGGTCACCTTCCCACTGGTGGGTGATTAATCCTCAGAGGCCTGCAGCGTCCATCCAAAAAGCAACGCATTCTCCCAGGCAGGCAAGCCCCCCGCCCACCGGAGCAGCCACGGCCGCCCCCAGTGAAACTGCACTCCAGGCCTGGGAGGGTTTGGGACCCCCTCCCACCCACAGCTCGCTCGCGTCCTGCATTCCCAAAGCCACAGTGGGAATGTTAACCACTTCACGTTTGCCTGTGACAAGTCCAGGCAGTGACCTTCATGTCTCGTTCACTTTTCCTGGTGCAAAC